AACCCCATCTTTTTCATTCCAGCCTTTCTGACTTGCTACAGTTGCACTAATAATGGCTCAGTTCCATCAGGTGTCCCAGTAAACCCTGACAGTGAACCAGCATGCACAAATCAGGACCTCCCTGAAGTGGAATGCAGCCATGAGTACAAGTGAGAATGTCAGCCATGATAAAGGTCTAATAGGTCAACAGGTAGCAGCCTTAATACGAATAAAAAATCATCAACAGAAAACAGGTAATGTGTTTTTAAATTAAATGTTGTACTTACCACTAAAGCTCGGCCGACTTCCAAGGCTATAGTGTTGATGGGGGTTGGTAAATACCTGGTAGGTCTTAACTGACGTCAGTGCCTCCCTCCTTTGTGAGATGTGTCAGTCTTCTGCTTGTCATTAATCGGGCTTTTAAAAAAAAATGCTGCATTTTCCATAGTCAGACAATTGCGATTTAACCCTTTTTTTTGTTGTTATTTTCTACGGTTGATTGGTGTCTGTGTGTTTTCTTTGCTGTATTATTTGTTAAGTAAAATGCTCTGCCTAAGTGTGTAAAAAGCACAACATCTTCAGAAGAAAAATGAGGAAATTCCCCATTGAAATTTTTTTTAAAAAAAGGACATTTCTAGAGTGTATTCTGTGCTTGCCAATCCTGGAACAACACTGATTAATACATTTCTAGATAAGTATCTTCTGCAACGACAGCAGGCTAAAATAAGGTTATTTATCAGTACTGCGTCCACAGATCAGACAGACTGAGCTGTTTGAAGAAAGGACAAGTTCAGATTTTTTCCTCTTTCTTTAATAATATACAGTATACTTATATACATACCCACAGGGTGCAATTAGAATGATTTTAATTCTTAACGTACTCATCATTCTCTTTAATAATTGATTCACGTTGTTATATAAAATGCAAGAAAATGGTGAAAAATGCCCCTCGCATTTCCCCTAGAGCTCAGTGTGACATTTTAAAGTTGCTTTTTCTGGTCCTACCAACAGTCCAAACCTTATTATTGAAGTTTGAGGAGCTGGGTAATACATGTAGTATTTGGTATTTTGACTGAAGACAGTTCAAGTGTGCAATAAACAGCAGCATTAAGAACACAATAAACACACCAATCAAAACAGCAACAGAATTCATTTGCACATTTTGTAAATTAGTTGTCTATTGATCAGTCTGCATCAGGAAAAAAAACAAAAAACTTTAAGTGAATGACTGAAAAAAAGAAAACTGGCTTTACTAATGTGTGTTTTTTTTTCAGGATTTCATAATCTTTAATTCTTTCCTTTAAGGCATGACAGCACATTGTGTTTGGTGTACATGCTGCCCAGGACACAGGTTGTAGTTCAACATTAAAACCATATGATCTGACCTCAGGAAATTGGGTAGTTCTGCCATCCGTAAAAACAAACTCGGTGATGAGGAGTGCTCCAGAGGGTGGTGAGCGAGCTACGTTTCTATGCTTTTACTGAAATGTCACATGCGTACCTGATCTCCAAGGTAATTACTTTCACAGTGAGAGGCCAACACTAAATGCACTGGGTGAGTTTCTTACTCAGTCATTCATCCTTCTGATGCTGCAAATAAGCAGACTTTACGACAATTTCCGCTGCAATTTAGCAGTGCTAAATTATAACTTTAAAATGAATACCATTTTCATACTCAAACTGAAACACGACATGTAATGTTAGGTTGCTTCTGGACAGGAAGACTGGCGGTAGAGCACAAATTATTACTTTTAAATAACAAAAAAAAAGGTCTAATGAACACTGATCAATGTCATTTTATCAAGCAAGGGTGTATGTAACTCAATTTATGTTTATATATGTATGTATGTATATATGTATATATAGACAGAATAAGCATTAAAGCTATGCTTGCAGAAAGGCAACAAATACATAATTAATATTATTTTAGGTAATCTGATGAAAGTAAGTCCAAAATTCATTGTTCTTTTAGCTCCATTTTTGGTCTCCATCAACTCCTGAGAGAAACAATTGGCTCTTTAGTTGTTAAAAAACTCTAATATGCTCACAAGCTTTAGTCCCTACCTTATTGACCTCTACTGTTTGGTTCCAGTCAGGCAGATTTTCACACTCCATCCAGTTGGGAACCAAACTAACGACAGAAGAGTTACAGATGGGAAACCAAAACAATGATCCATAATACACTAAAATGCTTAAAAGGTACAGAGTTCATAGAAGATAAAAGATATTCTCTTCACATAACAGTCACATAAATTATTGTTCATTTGCAAAATACTGATTTTGGCAGCTTTAAGGATTTTGAGTTAGAAATAATTTGTTAATCTTTAACCTGTCAACATTTACCCTGACATTTCTAGCTTGACTGATCCTGACGTTTTTAGCTTAGACTCAGTCTGAACTGTTCTGGGCTCATAAAAAGTTCCTTTAATACATGCACTAATGAGGATTTAGCAAAATCTGATTCAAAATATGATGGAGGTTGTGACGTTGTTTGCTCGAGCTAAACCACCGTCAGTCAAATGTGATCAAACCACGCCCACAGTCAGACACATTTTTCCATCTTAACTCCATTTTCTCCTTCTGTAATGACCTCAAAACAGTTGCTTTCACATCAGTAAAATGTATTTCGTAACATGAATACAATTGTCCTTTAAGAGGGAGATAAAGAAGCCACGCTCCTCTTAACAAAGATCAGTGTCACTTCAGAGCAGAAAAGCTGTAGTCACAGAGGCCTCCCCTTCCTGCCGTTTGCTTTCATCTGCAGCCTTCATGCTGAAGATTCGATCACCATCCTGGGGGAAATGTGTTTCTACTCAAATTTGTATGTGAGGAGAAGCTTGTTTTGTGCAACACCTCTGAACTCTGACCTCAGAACCTTATAGGACCGCAAGGGACAGCGCTTAAACGTTGAGGGGAAGCAGCTAATAATCTGAGTGGTTTCAATGCCAACATCGAGAAGAACACCACAAGAAACGGACAGAAGCTTCTAGAGACAGTAAAACGATACTAGAGGGTGGGAGGAAGAAAGAACAACTGTAAGTGCTGAAAAAGACACTTACTCTTCTTGCTTCCTATTTAAGTTTGAATGTCTTTTGCACTGACACCTACTTGTTAGTGGCAAAAACAAGGAAGTACTGTTGAAAGAAAAAGAAATGAAGTTGCTATGTTTCTCTTTTATGCTCCTGTCTAATGAACTACTAATGGATCACTTTGCTTTTGTAATTTATTTATAATAGTTGTGTTTGGACTTGTAAAATAGCTGAATGGAGCTTAGTTACAAATATTTCTCTGCACTCGTAAAACTGCACGGAAGTAGTAAATAAGTCATCAATAATTAGTATTCTCTTATGCATTTAAAAAATAGATACTTAGTAGATTAACATGATAATTTGTTTTTTAATTTATGTAGTAGGATTTTATCTTGTTTATTCAGTTTTGATAAATTCTTTTTTCTTCTCTTTAAAAAAATCAATTTTCATGTGTATTTAATCTTTACCAACCTTGTCATAAACAGGAAAAAATATTCTAAATGATTCAGTGATATGCCGTCTGTATGATAAATGTCAAACATGAATAATAAAGAAATAAAAAATGGTGTGCTCTTGCTGACTCAACGTCATATAATCAACATGTACCAAGCTGCAGCTGAAGCAGACTGAGTAGGTCGCTATTTTCATTAACTGTATTTTAAAGTTTATAAAATGATTGCATTCAGCGTGTATTCTTAGGTATTATTCCCCTCTGTTTTTGTAAAATTTTGTACAGTACTGGCACAGTATTTACCTTGTAATATTACTGCATTGGATAAATGAAAAAAATTGCAATAATCGAAGTTACACGTGGCCATAATGTCTTTCAGTTTTACATGGCATTTCTGCACGCAGAGTTGAACTCTTTTGCATTCCTCTACTTCAAATATTAAATGTAAATAAGGATCCTAACCCATTTTTACTCTTATAGCCTACAGCAGGGGTGTCGAATCCTGGTCCTCGAGGGCAGCAATCCTGCAAGTTTTAGATGTTTCCCTCTTCCAACACACCTGATTCAAATGATCAGGATCGTTATCAGGCTTCTGCAGAGCTTGATGATGAGCTGATCATTTGAATCAGGTGTGTTGGAAGAGGGAAACATCTAAAACTTGCAGGATTGCGGCCCTCGAGGACCAGAGTTTGACACCCCTGACCTACAGGTTTAAACTAGCCAAAGACAGAGTGACCCTACTCGTACTATATAATCACTGAAAAGGGAGATCGAGTACTACCATCAATCACTGTATTTGTGTTGTACAGTCAAAACGTTCTATGGGAATATGCAGTAGGTGATTTTAGGGGGAAATTAGCAGTGATGCTGTCTTGTTTGCATTTACCAAAATGCATCCCTGTTGTTAACTTGCCATTATCTCTTCTGCTAAGCTCAAGTTTAGTCTGGTTTTAAAGCCATAGGTCCTCCAAAAGTAAAACTCACACACTTAAAGTCCTATAGCATTTTGGTAATTATCTTATTTCTTATGCTGAGATTTGATCATTATCATTTTTATGTCTGTCCATCTACATGCCTGGGAACAGCTAGTCTGATGACAATGCACCTACCAGCACTTTTAAAGCTTATTAATCTAGATCTTATATAAACAGTACCGGAGCTGACTGTTGTCTTGCTGTGGTTTCAAATAAGCATGTCAGTGAAAATGTGTAACTGTTCCTTTAAGCGGTGCAGCCTCTCTGCAGGAACTGACTCATGCATTTAAATGACATTATTAAATCATCTGTTTTGTGAAATAACTCTAATGAAAATTGAAGTGTTTAACACCCCGAAGGGATAATAGGCTTTCAAGTAATGACACCGCACCAGATATATAGTGAAGTGTGGCCTTCACTTGTCAAAGAATATTAAGTTAATCACACAGAAGTCAGCTCTGCTAAGTTGGTATCTCAGTTCATCGCATTAATCAAAAAGCAGTGATGCGTCCCGAATCGAAATCAGCTCGGTGATGGGTTTGTCAGAGAAACAGACGGATGCTCTGATAAAATTTGTCAGTAGTTTATTAATCGGTCCAACTGTACATGATGCAGTGAGAGAGGGACACCAGACGATGAGTAACATGGAGGATTACAACGATGCCAGTGCTATGGCAGCACCTGGAACACACCAACTATCAGCTGGACTGGAAATGATAGCCCTGCACAAGGAAACTGTTCAGGCCTCAATATGTACAGGCACCATACAGTGTGTGTGTTTGTGTGTGTGTGTGCGTTTGTGTGTGATTAAAAATATCAGATCGGATGAAAAACACACAAAAATGATTTTTTTTTTTTTTCAGTTCCACAAATGTAAAAGGGTGCTCTCTCGCTTTTCACTGGAAATATTAATTCACTTCTTCTTCTTTTTTTTTATTTATTTGTCCATCCACAGTTTGAGTACGTTGAAGCGAAATGAAAGGAGAGGTGGGAGTGGCCAAATACAAAAGATTAGCTGATTAGCAGGTTGTTGTTTTTTTTTTTTTGTAATTCCATGTCTATATTGATATCACTATTACCCATACTTTTGTGCAATATCTCTCTTTGCATAGTAAATAAAAGTTAAATGTTTTTTTTTGTTGTTGTTGTTTGACATGCACCTATCTTTTGTAGCATATTTTTCTTGCGGATTTTGGGGGACTCCCATATAGAATTATAAGCCCACTATAGTGATTGCATGCAGCGTTACCAGTAGAGCTGAACTTGATTCCTACTAAGAGTTTATGAGAGCAAAAAGGCTAAGCCAAGTATAGTGGGTGTTGATGAGGACTGTTAAGTGAGCGCCTGCACGGACAGACTTCATGCCCTCAGCAGTACGAGAGGCACCACTGGCTGCAGACAGAGGGGGGGAAAGTGCTCTGTGTGCAACAACATCCATATGTTCAGGTGATTGGTTCTTTGGCTTTTGAGTCACTGTTGAGGATACTTCAGAGGGAGGGGTGGGGGAAAAAAATCTCGTGACGTTTAATCGAACGTGATCACAGTCTGAATCTCTCTAGAACTGACACGCTTCTCCTCGACACCACAGTTGCTTTGTCCACTTTTGACTTCAATTTTCAGCCCAAATCATAATCGCGGTCTTCTTCTTTTCTTTTTTCCTTCTTCAATAACATTGCCAAAAACACCCGCTATACAACATGCTGAGATAAAAAAACAAAAGCAATTGATGTCCTTGTAAAATATGCTGTCAATTCCAAACCTGAACTCCTTATTTATGTACAGTAGTTGTAGTTGTGTGTGTGCATTCACTATGTGGTCTGCACTGCCCTTATGGGACCTCACATGCAGCCTCCTTTATCTTCTGCAGCACCTAAACATGAACTACAGGAGCTTTAAACAGGCCTTCCACCGGGTTTCGGTTTTTAACGAGGCTTTCTCCTGCACTGGAATATTTTTTTTTCTCTTTGTATGTTTTTTTTTTTTATTGTTTTTTTTTTGTTTTTTTGCGGTATATTCATAGCTTTGGTAGCCATGCAGAGCCCTGTAAAGAGGGCTCTTCATGCCAGGAGGCCAGCAAGCAGCACGCTTTGTGTGGATAATCATGCCAGGTGAGAGAGTGGTGTGGATTCCGCCTGAACGCCTGTGCACTGGCACTAAAGGATGGAAGAGGAGCTCTGTCACTCTAGAGATCAGGGTGGAGGGGCGTGGGAGTGAGGGAGGCGGGGAAAGAGGTCGGGGGGGGTTCAGTTGTTACATGGGTGAGGTGGAGTTGAGAAGGCTGCATTTATAATGTCACTACGATGGAATTTGTTAAAATGTCCACTATGTCTTTTTCAAGTAAATCTAATGCCAAAGATCAGCAGCAATAAGTGCAGTCCAGCTGTCAGGTAGCCAACTAAGGAAGCCTTGGAGGAGTCCGTCTGTGATTGCCATCTCTCCTTGGGTTAAATGGCTGTGGCGTTGGGGTCGTATCGCCGTTTCTTCACATTTCTTGTGAGGAGATAAGAAACAGGAGTCAGAGTCTGCAATAACGATGTCTGCAACACAGCTAGGGCAACCTGGACAAGCGACCGCACTCGTCTCTCCAGTTGTGCTCATAACACAGTGCTGTAAATAGTGTTTTTGGTCCCATTCAAGAGTGCCAAATGAAAGTGTTCCCATTGTGCACTTTCTAAGGACTTAAAGTCTGAAGACACTGAAGTGAGGAAAGGCTGGTCCACGTTGGCCGATTCAGCCTTTCCTGCAAAAAGACAGTCAGAGGTATTCAAAATCACAAACCTTCTCTGTTTATGATGATGTACAAGCGGTCAGATCTGACCTAAATTAGAACATTTACCCATTTTTTTCAAAGTCTGCTTTCAAAATAACCTAATTTTGAAGTTTAACAATCGTAAATACCCTCTGATGCCTTCTTGCAGACAAGTGCCGACTGGCTGGTGCGTGCAACATCAGTGTACAACGTGAAGTGTAGGAGACATGTCTCATTACCAGTTTTGATGGGAAAGACATTAGTTCCACTCAAAACATAACCATCTGGGAGGAAAGAGCTAACATAAAATATACTCTATAGAGGAGGGAAAGAGGAGACAACCACATAAACAACAACCACAGCAGCAGCAGCAGCAACAAGAACTACTACCACAACAGTGGGACAACAACGAATACGACAACAGGAGTGATGCATAACCTCCCCGTACTGTGGCTTGCTGTGGGGCTTCTATCACTCTGTCATGCACCTGTTCCAATAGTAGGCCAGTTGAAGGTGGCACTATTGTTGTGCGTGGTTCATGCAGTGCAATGCGCCGTGTCTGTACCAGGTCTGTGAAGCAGGCAGCAATGGCAGCTGGTGTGGGCGGGGTCCGAGAGTCCTGCTCTGCTCTAGGGCGGAGCCTGGCCATCCAGGTGGGTGTGGCCAGCCATGGCACAAAGGCTGCAGGCAACAAAAAGGTCCTGGCTTCTCTCTGTCTCTCTCTCTGTCTCTCTCTCTGTGTCGCTCTCACCACTCCATTTAAAGTCTCAGCCTCAAAAAAGGGTGACGGATTGAGAAAAAAGATCACGGAAGTGATGAGAGCTCGACAACCCTGGACCAAATCACTCTGGGTTTGGCTCAGCCTTTGTGCAATGAACTGACCTCCTCCAAATCAACAAGTCAACATGCAGAAATGTTTCGTATCTTGATCTATTTTCTTTTGTTCTTTTATTTTTTAATTTTTTTTTATTTGCTGTTTTCGTGACAACCATGATGCTTCGCTATCTGGCATGCTTCGGTGGCTGCAGGATTGTATTTCTCAATTAGTCCTCAGGTCTGTTTAGATTAAAATGTGTAACACCCCTGTTGCTCAAGACAGCAGGCTAATCAGCGGTAGACTGGAACTTATTTAACATAATCTATTGTTCCTAGCTACTCAGACATGCTACATCTATCTTTGGATCTCAGAGGGGAGTAGGATTTTTCTTAATACAAGCATACACAGTTTATATTTTTTTAACCATTTAGCTGTCAAAAGTACTCTTTCCCCTCTGTTTCATGAGTTATCGGCTCCTTCACTGAACATGCATGTCAAGCATTGAGCTCTGCCCGTCTAATCAGTTTGAGGTTTTGCTACAGATGCACAGACGCCCCCAGTGTCTCTCCAAATCGCATTAATGCGTGTGAAAAATCCTCCACTTCCTCCTTCGTAAAGCAACCACTTCAGATGTGTGTTCCTTTTCATGTGTGCGATAACGGCTTCTCTGTGCTCGTGTTTCGTCCACCCTGGGGTCCAATATTCTGTAGCAGGAGCTCAAACCCTGGTGTCTAGAAGCAGCAGGGATGCTAGAGTTACAGCAGGAGAGGCATGCGGCGTGTTGCTTACTTAAAGCCCCATCCAGTCCCCCCCAGCACTATGGCAGCCACAAGGATGGCTCCGGCGATGGAGCCTATTATTAGATTGGTGGCACTAGGACCTGTAAAGGGTTATGGGGAAAAAGACATGAGTTTCTATACTCACTTACTGTACCAATAACATGTAACTATACAATGACGATTTCACATGGAACAGAAAACATACCATAAGTATACTATTACAGTAAAATGATCGGATCTGAGAATGTATTTTGCATGCTTTCCAGTCCCCGTTAGTGTGTGACGTGGTTTGAATGTAATCAAGCAAACGCCCTGGGAATATTTACATTTATCTGGTGTCAGTTGAGGTAGTGATTATCAGTGGTTTGTCTGTTAAGGTTGTGCAGAAGACTAGACCCAGGGTATCCATCACTGTAGAGGTTTAATTAAACAGAGATTGACAGGTGATATGTATAAGTATGAGCGGTACAAAATGTTTTTAGGGGTCCCAGTCACCACACAGCCTACCACTGACTGACAAGCCAGGTCGCTAAGCTGGACACTTCTCAGGACTGTTTTCATCTAACTGCCCCACATGCCCCAGAAAGGAGAGGATCACAGGAGCAACCACATAACGACTAAGAATAAGAGAAAGAAAAGGGAGGAAGAGGGAGCATGAAGAAAGAGGCTCGTAGTAATGGGGGAACAACGGGAAGGAGGAAGAGGAGGAAGGAGGAAGGAAGGAAGGAGGGAAGGGAGATTAGGAAGGAGGGGAAATCCATCAATCAATCACACGACACTGAATACATCCAATCACATGACAATTATATGGTTCATCACCAACACACAAGAAAACACAAAGCCACCGGGACGCACACACGGGCTCAGGCCGGCTCACGAGACCGCCCGCACACTGAGGCACCACTATGAGAGGAAGAGCTGTGAAAGGGTTAAAGATGCTTACTCTATTCCCCACCCTGTGCCTCCAAAAATCACCCCCAGGGCCAGAATGGTCCCTGCTACTGCCCCTATCAGCCTGTTAGTGGCCACGCTCACTGTGCAGAGGGAAAAGGAGCATTATTACCACCCTGTCAAAAACAAATAGCAGGCTTCTGCTTCAGAGTCATGGATGAAGTGAGACGGATGCTTCCCGCCCCCCTTAAGCACCTCCCCGTCCCCCCTGTGGTCAAAGCATCAGGTGTACAGCTCAACTAAACATACATAACACTGCTTTTATAATCGCTTTCCATCTGCATCTTTTTTTTTTTTTTTTTTTTTTTAACATTGGTAGTCTTTACGAGCACAGTACACCTGTGAAACTCAAGTTGCAGGAATCTGTGTTGACTCAGATCTAGCAGCGAGACTGAGAATGACATTGTAATATTGCAGAACAATATATCAATATATCTATATATATGATCAATGTGAATCTTGGCTTAGTTAAATGAGTGCACATAAACTTGTGTGTTATTCATTTTTTCAGATGGCAGAGGCTGAAAAAAGGGAAACCGACCCTTGGGTTCTTCATCCTTAGTGACTTCAGGCTCTTTAGGCGGGTCAGGCATGCTACAGTCTGTCCCCGCCCAGGTGGTGTCACAGGTGCATGTGGCTTCATTGTTGCACACCTGTACAGAGCAGACAGAAACAGATGAGGTGCTGAAGAGGATGCAGGAGCTCTAAATAAAGGCGCTGACACATCAGGCTTATTTTTGAGAACTATACCCGAGGGGTTCGTTCCCAGCAGCTTTCTTCACACTGGATATTTATAGGAGGTTATTTTTTAGCTCAGTTCTACACTTTGTGGCATTTTTAAGACAGGTCAGCCGACAGCAGCTCAAGCAGAACCTAATCTGGTTGCATTACACAACAATGGAAGGAACAAGAGAAACAAAACGGACTGAAACCAAGCGAACGGTTACAAAAATAAACTGGAAGTGCTCCTGTTGGCAAACAGGATGCGTAAAATGAAAGTAAAACATCCTAATCTGAAGGACGCGCAAAAGCAATAAATGTACTGACATTTTCATCGTATGTTTTGTGGAGACATGTTGGTATTTTATAGATTTTCCTAAACTGTTACCATCAGACACCTTCAATAAACTGATAGACCTAAAAGTTCTGCAATGAAACAGCTGTGTCTTGCAAATTTAGACTAAACTATTTCAACACTGTGAATAAAGTGTTAGCACATGTTCAGTATTGTGAAATATTATACTTATTATAATTAGGATTGTCTTATTTTGGAAGACAAATAAAGCACACGCCACTATTGATTCCACAACACTTGTGTTTAATATATTCAGATGAAAAATTCCAATATCAACCAATTATTAAATAAAAAAGACCTTTAATTATAGATAATTATTAGAAAAAATACTGGATACATAATGCACACAAAAAAATAATAAATGGAATTTTGTGTTATTGATACAATACTTAAAATAACTGTTTAGTTGTTATTTCAAAGATAATTTGTAGTTTTACAGACTTTTAAATACAATTAAAAAGAAAAACAAAACAGCCATAAAATATAGATTATTGTTCATATAATGCATGTTAATAAAGTCTGCATTTCATTTAAGTGCTGAAATTGTACAACAACAGAACCACAGTTACCACCATGTCAATTGTTTTCCAGCATTAATGTCTGTGTTGATGAATTGTAACTCTAGTTATCACTTATAGGCAGTCAGGTAGGCCAGATGTGAGACAGATGTTCAAGTAAATATCAGCTGTAAATTGACTGAGCCCATCCTGATACCGTTGATGTCAGAGCGATCCGTGAACTGAAGAGTGTTCAGTCCTTGATGAGACTGAAAAAAGTTTTATTCTGCAACTTTTCCCCCCAGAAAATCTAAATTGAAGCAGATTTGACGGCCTATTTTTATAAGATGTTTGACATTTCAATCACAAAATTCAAGGCAAACCCCATTTATATCCCAGTGTTTGTGCACATTTGTCCAGTTTATGATGATAATTGAATTAAGGACTTTTAATTTGTTAATCCACCTGGGAAGTCAGTCCTAAGTGGATCTCCTATGAGTAAACTGTAGGTGGGTGTGCAGCAGGACTCACCCCATGGGCAGAGCACACCTGTCCATTAGGTCCGCTGGGGCAGGTGCTCATGTTGAGTGACTGGATGGGCAGACACTTGCGGTCAAGGCACATCATTGACGGCCCACAGGGGGTCCCGTCCTCCACGTAGCCTAAATCAGTGTCATCATCCAAAAGGACATGGGCACCACTGAGAGAAATATGAGGACGGAGGAGAGGTGAGGAGAGAGAGAAGGGGATCAGATCTGATTAGAAAATAAAACCGCAAAAGGAGCACAGTCTGTAATGAGTCAGTCTCCAGGACTCAACAAGCGTGGTAATAAAGTAAACATTTGTTTACGTGCACTGTATCACGTTGCCTTGGTGATTGAAGGAGGTGGGGTTAACTTCTCCCTTCATCATTCCGATGCGTGGGACTCGGCCAACGTTGGTACACAAAAGGTAACCACAGAACACGTCGCTGTAAGAGATAAGAGAAACGTGTGCAGACTCCACTCTTCCACCCAAAGCACATTTTGACTTTTCAGATCTGCCTCATCGATTATCACCGATGCTCTGCCATCTCATATAAAGAGCAGATAATGTTTTTGTTGAAGAAGCAGGTTGATAGACAGAGTGGATGCAACAGAAGTACCATTTATTAGCAAGGAAATGGACAAAACAAAAAGGAAAAAATGAACCCTGGAAAAAAAAATTTAAATAATAAACTAATGGAAAGCTCTTAGCAAGTTGACACCTCTTCTCTCTTCCTTCTACTTATTTTATACGAGCTAAATCTGCACCTCACAATAAATACTGATTAGATTTCTGTCCAGCTTGATCCCAACATCATGCAAATGTAGGCAGCAATAACCGCACTAAAGTTTTTGGAACCAGGTGCCAAAGTTGATCTCTACCTCCAGCACAACTAACAGCTGATTGGTTTAGATGTTAGTACTTTATAGAAAGTTGTTTTGTTATTTTGTCTGACTTTCTGTTGACAGAATAGGTCTTCTGTGGTTGATGTCTCCATACATTATGTCATAGTTGTAGTCTCTTGGAGGGATTCTTAAAATGACATCTGTACAGATGTGGAGCCATAACATGATGATTGCTTTCACTGAATCTGTTACAGCCACACATGCATTCATTTTCATTTTAACTATCTAATGTAATTTTAAATTACTTGTCAAAGCGCTTTGATTAATGGTAGCCGCTTTTAAATGCACTTTATAAATTAAATTAACTTGACAGTCCCTCCACTGTCTTCCTGGAGATTTTACATTTGTTTCTTGTTGCAGAAAACTTTCTACAGTTAAAAAAACAAGGCACTTACAATCCCTCCTTTTTAACATGAGTGTATTACACAACAGTATTACCAGTTATGACATTGTGACTCCAGCTGGAATTCATTTTTTTAAATACTGACTGAAATTGAAAACTACAGAAAGCAAGGAAGAGAGAAACATTTTAGCACGTGCACTCATAGGAATGAAGAGACAGTTTTTAAAACACAATCCTTTCAAGTCTATATTCCTTTAAGAGAACTGTCCTCTGTTGCCATCTGTTGGGTTGCTGCAAAATAACCAGGAACCTGAAAGTGACCATCTGTGAATCAGGACAAAAGGCCGGGTGTATTCTTAGAATCAAATCAAACAACCTTTCTCCAAACTACCACACTCAAAGGTGTGGAAAAAGCCTGAGAGCCTGAGAGAAATGTTCAAACTATTGCACCTCTGCACAACTAGTTAATCCCTGCGTGAAGTGGGTGTGAAAGTTAAGTTATCAGTTTTGAAAAGTTAGGCCCAATTCTGATGCTATAAAGTTATGGGAGGAGATACTTTCCTCACATGTACAGAGGAAATGTCACAGTTGATTGAATTTCCCTGTAATGTCTTCATTTGTAACTCACTGTTTGCTACACTGGACCCATTTGTCTCCATCCTTCCCACAGTTGCCTTTCTCTGTGCCCTCCGTGTTCAGCTTCTCGTAGCAGAACTTCTCCGAACCTCCAGCCTCTGAAACAAAGAGAAGACGGGTGAGCTGCACAGACTCTGATGAGAAACATGTTTTTGATGCTCTGACAGCAGCATCTAATGTGAATCAAAGGAGTGTTGTTCTTACTGGAGCCCCAGATGTATTTGCACTGGTTCTCTCTGGTCTTGCACTCTCCGTTGTAGCAGCGTCCCTTCAGACAAAGAGAGACAACAAATAATGAGTTTGATTCTCCTCAGCTACTCTTCTGGTGCATAGCTGCTCCTGTCTGGATGAAAAAAAAAGTGCATTTCATACCTGGTTGACCTGGCAGAGGTAACCATCCTGCTTATGAAGGTTGGGAGGGCACTGCAAAGTTACAAACAGAAAGCATCATCTGTAACATGCAAAGAATGAACCATTACAATTGGAAGCAAATCGAGCGTGCAAAACACAAGACCTGTCCAGAGTCTCCAGAGCAGGTCTCTGAGATATCACAGTCATTCACAGCATAGCGACAACTGTAGCCTCGAGGGTAGAACTGTCGAGAGAAGACAAAAGGTTTCAGAATTGAATAGTTTCTGCTGTAGAACTTAAATAAAACGCCGCGCTCATACCAGACATGTGGTGTTGCAGCACGGCCCATCACTGCAGTGGGCCCCGTTGGCGAGGGAACACTTCTTACAGCATTCTCTGGTGCAATCCTGAAGGACAAGATGAGTTTGACTCATCTGTACAAACAGCTGACGACAAACAGACAAAGACATACTGAAGGAAAAACAAACCTACCGTTCTCGTTCCACAGTCGCACTCCTCTCCCACTTCTACAAATCCGTTCCCGCAATCTGCCACCTCAAACAGCTGCCAAAAGAAGACAAGGCGACATAAAGCGAGCAAGTGTGACGTATAGCTTTTGTGGCACGTAAAGAGGGAGGTATAACTGTGGGCATCTGACCTTGGTTGGTCTGTTAAACAGACACGAGCCTCCACCTTTCAAGAGGAACTCCTTGTAGTCTGTGATGCTGCATTTGGAGAATCTCTGTGGGTGTTGCACTCTGCAAAGTGAAAGAAAGTCAGGGCGATATTTCATTAGTTATAAAAGTCCAATGTTGTGATAAGTAGCTTTCCTGATGCTCATATTCTATATAAAGTATGTTTTTAGTAACAATGAAGCTGTAAACCACATAAGAATGATCTAAATCACACTCTGGATACGCAGACAACACTTGCTTTGGTCTTATCTGTTAACAACAACAAGAAAAATATAGAAAAAGTACTAGTTTTATCTTTTAAACTTGCAGTGCGGAGCTTTTGTCTCCCCCTTCTGGCAGTCAAAGTCATTTAAACACTGGTGAAATGTGTTTAGAATGAATATAACTATAATCCCTCCTCTCAATTAAGTTTCTTTTTTGTCTGGAGCATCAGAAACGTTTCTTGGATGCTTCTTTGATCTTTCAGTTTTGAGCTCCACTACACTTAAACTTTCTGTAGCCCACTCCGTCTCCGTTGCTACGGTTACTCCCCGTCTCTGCTCTGGTAAACCAGCCATTGCCGGTTAATGTAAAAGGCCAGAGTGGGAATGTCACAAACTGTATTTAAAACTCCAGTATACTGCAAAAGACAGAGATTTACCTGCCGCTGACAGGTTTAATCAGCAGTGTGTGGACTTGCTTGACAGGAGCTTGAATAATGGACGTGTATTTGTTTCAATTATACGTTCAGGTCCCAGACTGTACTGTACTGACAGCACTGACTGTAACTGTAAGACGGGACGTGTCTTCACACACTCGCAATCCCACTTTCAGTTCTGAAGTGAAAAAGACATCTCCCAACAGCCTTCGATCGGACACAAAAATGTGCCTCTTGTGTGCTATTTTGCAAATTAAACACTTTGCCCATTATATAATGCCTTATATTGGGGGAACTAAATTCAGTGATTCTTACGACCTAAAGTACCCTCTGAGCAAAATCCAAGAACAAGGTCAGAACATGAATCAGTTTACATTCAAATCGTGTCAAACAAGATCTTCTCTGTCTTATCTTATCAGTAGAACACCAGGCAGCCTTTTGTTCTCAGTCCCGGCTGGATTGTAACATATCCTCCTTACAGCTAAATAAACATGTTTTTCTTTTTTGCTTCTTGTATTGCAATCTGGGGACCCATCGGCAATTGTCTGATGACTTGACCTCTTTGGGCACCAGCCAGTGTTGTTGAGCTTCCGGTGCAGCCAGTGGACACTCTGATAAGAGAAGACTTCCTGTTACAGGCCCAGGTGGAATTCTGGCTAACCTCTATCAACAAATACCTGTATATGAATGCAGACAAATAAAAAAAGTTAATAAAAAAGCCAACTTGTCATCAGATGATTGCCGATGATTTCGAGATGAGCCAATGTCGTCAGCCTCTTTTGCTCTCCACAACCTGCATGTAACCACGACCCGTTCAGATATAACTGGACAACAAATGGAAAGCAGAAGGCTCGTGGCGCCAAAATCCTGCCAACAAACTTTGCATGTTTATATGCAGATTTTTTAGATTACTGAGATTGTAGATGCATCTGTTGTTACATGCCTCAGATGCAGTGAAATGCTCAAGGAATTAAAAAATAAATTGACCACGGCGGTCGACAAAAAGACAAGATAGTGCAGGTGAACAGAGAAAACAGAGTAATTAGCGATAGCAGGATGATGAAAAAGTGATGCCTGTTGACCCTTTCTATACCTTCACTAAGCTATTTTTCTGTTTCAAGTGTAAATGGGTTCATTTATACTATATAACTGACTGGATATGTGGTTAAAACTGTAACAGAACAAAGCAAACAGATTGAAACCAGGCAGGGATTCAGAATTAATTAATACACGCAGTAATGAATGAAAACCGAACAATTCTCTCATTCCCAGAGTGGTGATTATTACATTACTTAGAGCACACGAACAAGAGTCTTTTATTGTCCCACTATCGCTCTGTGTGTGTGTGTGAGTGTGTGTGTGAGTGTGTCTCAGGACATTACCCAGTGTCCTCCATTATGCAGCCAGCCCACAGGTTAGCACAACCACATTCCTCTGCAAACAGGACACAGAGAGCAGGAAAAACACAGGAAGAAACAAGGTGAGAGAGAAAACAGACGTCCACACACTGGATTTAAAACAAAAAGAAAGAGATTCAATGGGATGTGTTAAAATGATGAGCAGCGTCATTAACTAGTGGATTTAGCACCTGATACCCGAAGCTTTCTGCTGAATAATGAAGAATTCCTCCTCTCTGTTTCTCACTGACATGCTCACTGTCGGCCAGTTTTGGGACCATAAAAAGAATTTTGCTGACGGTTAGCATTTTTCTGGAGCTTGCGATTTCTAGCCTGGCAGCTGTTTGATGACTTTGCCTCATTAAGCACTGTGATCTCAAATCTGATGGCACAAATCCTTTTTCGAGCCGGACACGACGCAGTCTACTTTTGGACCACTTTTTTTTTCAAAGACAATGAGCTCATCTCTCCATCTGTCACTCCTGGCATTAAATCTAAAGAGACAGTTTGATCCCATCAAAAAAACACCTTTTTTTGTTTCACAGGCACCCTCACACACCGTTTGTATGCGTTTTTTTTGGTTTGTTTTGTTGCTTCTGTTACATTTTACTAACTGTGGGCTCTATTTTTACTGCAATATAAAGTCCTATGAAAAAAAGTAGAGCATAACAGAGTAACGGTGCCATAAATCATAAAAAAAACACTATAAGAAAGCAGAATTTCTTGGATTATTTAGTTTACAAAAATTAAAATACGTCACTATCAATATGTATAACCCTTTTCCAAGTGCCCACAGTGCCAACCAATACTTGAAAAAATGGTGGCTCTACGTACTATAGATGTGTTACCGACATTTTGTCATTGTTAACAAACTTGTCTCCTTGCTGCTCCGTGTAAAAATAGTCTGAAGTCGAGCTGAAAACTCCCCAAATGTTGTCATGGGACTATTAGTCACAGCCTAGTCATTAGCAGCTTTTCTGTCGTGCCAAGAAATGCACAATTTGTTGTTTGCATCGTATCTGGTTTTTGGCAATATTTTCAGACACATACAATAAAGATGATTTGAATGGACTATTATAATGTTAAGCTTAGACTTGGTTGTCTTCCTGACAGAACTGCACGTCACAGTTGACTAGTTCAAAGACTGTCAAGAAGTTGAAACTTATTTTTTTCTGTTTTGACAGTTTTTTTGCTCAGATAATTATTGTAATTGTAGCAGGTTTCTTTTGTCTTGAAGGATTAAATGCCTAAAGACATTTGAATTGCTAGACCTAAAATGGGGCTGCAAGGTGGCTCACAGCAAGAAGGTCGCCGGTTCGCGTCACCCGGAATCTTTCTGTGTTGAGTTTGCATGTTCTCCCCGTGCAGCGTGGGTTCTCCCCAGGTTCTCTGGCTTGGTGATTCTAAATTGTCCGTAGGTGTGAATGTGAGTGTGCTTGGTTGTCTCTAAGTGTGGCCCTGTGATGGACTGGTGACCTGTCCAGGATGTCCTCTGCCTTCACCCTAAGTCAGCCCCCCGTGACCCTAGTGAGGATTAAGCGTTGTATAGATAATGGATGGATCAATGGACCTAAAATGTAAAACAACAGTTTATAAAACAAAATAATATCAAAATGTACAATCCTATATTGACCATTAACTATTATAATAGGCTGCTTTTGTGTAAATAAAATACTCCGAAATTTGAATATGAAAAATGTTATCCTATTTACTCCTGTGAGTATCTCGCCATGCCAAGTATTTTAGTTTAGAAAATCTTCCATTGTGTCAGCAGAGTGAAAGGCAATAGAATTCTCTGCTGCTGAAATATGAAATCTGAAGAATTCAAAAGAAACATGCCATCTAAACGAGCATGTCTCAGACTAAGCAGCAGCGGTGAAACATGTACTCAGATCTTTATGTGACGCATTGATGTTTTATGTGGCAACGGGGGAAACATGGGGCTAATTTTAATTTATCTATATATGAAGAGTTCATTTGCAAAAACAGATAACTCCATCTTCACAAACCTTCAGAAAACCCACTTCTCCATCGTCTACCTGAGACAATATCAAACTTATCTCTATTCTTGTCATGTCATTTCTACTGAGTCAAATCCACTCAACTTCAGTTTGATTGATATCATCTCAAGCAAACAACAAAAAAATACGTTTTTCTGAAAATCTACAAAAATGGAGTTATCTGTTTTTGCAAATGAACTCATCATATGTTCTATATTACTTCACATGCTGCTGGGTAGCTTGTGAATTCTTCTCTGGGAACCAATAAAGACCTATTTGTTAATAATGTAATTCAATTAATTATTATATTTTGTTTTGTTAATCGGACTCTGGGCCTTTCTGTGTGGAGTTTGCACAAAAAGAAACAAGAAAAAAAAAGCATTTGAGATGTGGTGAAGTAGAAGCACAAGGGACAAGATAATAGAAATTCTCAAGTAGATTACAAGTACCTCAGATTTGTTCTTAAGTGCAGTACTTGAGTATATGTATTTAGTTACTTTCCAACATTATTATTCAACTCATACCACAAACTGCTTTAGGGACAGGGTTTTTTTTTTTTGTATATGTTTTTTTCTTTTAATTGGCCACAGAGGAGCCGGATATCTCAAAATCTCAGTAAATTACCCAATAAATTACATTATACTGATGTACCAGAAACAGCTTACAGTAAGTGCATTTAGAATTCTTTGGAACAAGAGCTAGATGTCATCAAAAAGTGCATCTCTCTCAGAAACCACTAAAAGTACCCTCAGTGCTGCGGCACAGGGCTTACAGTTGTATCGGAGTGTTTTTTTAGGACTGAGGTAAAGTCTGAAAAGGTCACGCTGACTTCAGTGGGGTGTTGTTATTCCACTGCTGTTGGGCTTTGACAGAGAGGAGAAATAAACCGAGATGGGCGACCACAGGGTCCACAATAAAACTACTGCTGATGTTAGTTGTAATTTAGGTGCCAGGAACCTTGTGAGTTCAGCCCTGACTTTCCTACCTCCCTTACTTTAGCTGTGAGTTAATGAAATGTGTTTCATGTATACTTCTCTTGGATGCCGGGTCCCACTGGATGCCCAGGTTCTGTGCCAGGCTCTGGGATAGAGACCCCACCATGGACCAGGTGGTGCCGTACTGTGGGCACGACAGAGAGCAGAGATTATTCACCTGCAGTCTGCGATGCACGCACACCGTGATGCTGCATGTTTGACAGCAAATCTGACCTCATTGACCCCGACTCCACGGCTCACTGAACACATGCCTCCAAAGTACGCGGTGCTGCTTCTGCGGTAGTGGAAGGTCACATTTCTACAGGAGTGACGGAGGACAAAGAGGAAGACGTGAACAACACACGGACGGTAAAAACACAACAGAAGAATTAGGTCTGTCGAAAAAAAAGTGAACTTAGACAAATACTTAATGTAAATTTGTACTTCTGAAGACACAGAATAGTCTCAGTTAGCTACAACTGCAAGTCACGTGCACACTGAGAGCACCATGGACTCACAAAGACGTACAGAGTAGAAAATGAGCACAAAAAGTTGCATGGAAATGATGTCAAACTAAGCTCTTGCTCAACTTTATTGCAATCGTCACACGATTAGTGGTCGGAACCGACTTTATTGCAGACAGTATGGAGTTCAAGTACCATAAAAAATACAAGAATGACAAAAATAACAGCACCAAAGAAGAATGAAGGATAACAATATTACCTAAATGGATGCATTTTTTTCCTCCTAGTAGGTGCCTAGTATTTAAATAAATTTGGACATAGATGGACAGTTAATATAGTACTTAGAGAGGCACTCATCTTCTGTTATATGCAGATTATGCACGTTGCCATGACAGGCAAGCGGCCACCATTTGCATTTTTTTTTACCCAAATTATAAATTGACACTTTTGGTAATTAAGGGTCCAAACTCAGTCACAGTAAGAAGCAATTTTCCCTCTGCTCTCCAAACATGAGTCGCTTCTGTGTGGGATTTCAAAGGATTCTGTATCAGGCCCCCAAAAGCTAGAAACGACTCACCAAGTACATTTTCATATTATTCATTATACTTGCAATCCCAAAGTAAGTACAATGGACCATTCCAGAGAATGGTTTAACCCACCAATACCTTCTAAACAACACATGAAAAGAACATAATAAAACCACAGGAGAGTCAAACTATCACCTAAACACTTCTGCTCACTGGAAAGGATTCTGTCCGACGAGAGAACTTACGAGAGGAGCTGCACGGAATCGGCGGGGTGCTTGATGCTTTGCTGCCTGTACTTGGCGAAATCTCGCAGCATTTCCAGCGGCCTCACACTTATGGGGATGTGATCCTTGTCCGTCCAGATCTCCACAGCAACAAGCACCACGCGTGTATGTAACTGGTCTTTGAAGATCTGCCATTGAAGCACGCAGTGAATGGGAGCAGCAAAGAAAGACAGAGCAGAGAGACAGAGCAGCACAGGGAGAGGAGAGCAACACTGGGTGTAAATTTCAATCTGAACTGCCTGAGGAGGACAGACGAGCGGATGTAGCACACTGGGAACGAATAGGGAGGAATAAGGGGGGTGATAAGACACGAGACGAGCCAGCGTGGATGTATTTTAAACCTGAAACTGTCTTGAATCCTCTACATGGTATGAACTCAGGCAGCAAACTGCAAGAAACAAAATTATGCTTGCAGCTCTGTGACAGTTTCCTATTAGCGCTCAGGAACAACTGATGGGAATGTCGGTAGTTTTGCTGGTACTTGAATATCGCTGATACTGTTGTGCCTTTTTATTTTGTTAAGATTAAAGAAGAAGAGCAAATTTCTCCTTGTTGAACAATTAATATAATCTTGATCCTTGAATCTATAAACCATTAAGTACTGTCCAAAGTCAAATCTTGTCCTGCCTTGTGATGCTATAGGAAAAGTCTGATATCTGGGGACTAATCCATATTGTAGATGCAGAGTTCATAGTATGGGCTAACTGACCTTTGACTTTCTGATGGCACTAGATGAAAAGTCAAGGGACCACCAATTTTTCTTTATTGTCACAAAGGAGGACATGTCAGTGAAGGACAATCCATAAAAAAAGATTAACTGTTGGGATATGAATTCTAAAAGCGGCATCTAAAGCAAAACACTACACATCATTCAAAAGGATAACTGAAAAGCTTACTCACACCATCCACAAGATTCACTACTGACTTGGCAAAATTCTTCGTGTGCTGCTTGTTCTTGTGTCGTTTAAACTGCAGACAGAAAGAGACAAAATAAAAAAACATTAAAAAACGAGATAAGATGAATAAGCTGCAGTGATTTGATGATGCACCCTGTATGATGCAAAGGGTGCTGCATTCAGGAACACTGCTCCCTCTTGTGGGAAAGAAGCAGACTAAGTCTAAAATATTAATGAGTTGTTTCTATGCAGGCTGTATGAGAAATTAACAGCTATAGTCAGTATGAAAGGAGTCAAGGCAGGCCTTTAAAGTCGTCGCCGCTTCCAGTGAAGTCACATACCATACTGTGGTCGCTGACTATCATGACTTCCAAATACTTCATCTCCTCAAACACACTGCGAGGCATCTGCAAAACAAAACACCAGTGACAAGGTATAATTTGGAGTCCTTGCATCACCACAGGTTTGACCATGCACACTACTGTAAAGTTATTATCGTGCACTCATTACGTAATGAATCAAGGGCGGGTGCACTGAAGTTGATGCATTACTTTAAAAAGGAATGAAATCAGAGACTTACTGCTCGCTTTTTCCTGCGCTTCAGCCAGGATAATTCATCCAGCTCGGAGAAGAGCTGCTCCTCCTCCTCCTCCACTGCAAACACGCAACACACACACCAAGAAACAGTGACAGTTCAACGCACTTATTAAGTATTTACAACTGCGCAGGCTTTTTATTTTACCAGGTCAAGTAACAGGAATGGGTTTTGCATGTGATTTTTTTTAACAGAAATTTCGAAGTTGTCTCCTTAAATTCCCCATGAAGCGCTCTAGAAAAAAGAGGCAGGAGTGGGAGAAAGACAAAGCTTTCTGGAAGTAAACAAAACAGTATTTGGTTCATTTGATAACATTAACTCAAATACAAACCAGTCAGTTTCTCATGTATTTTCACTTCCTCTTGTAAAAACCACTAAAACTCAGCTGTAACCACTCGCGGCCGTACGTGCGTGCTTTGGCCGAACATGCGTAGGGAAGATAATGTCAGGGTCAGAGAGAAGTGTGGCGTTGGTCAGAAGCATAAGAGTGATGGAGAAGGTTGTGTAAGCAGATGACAGTGATGGAACTCACCCTGTTCCTCTGAATCATTGTTCCAGGGAAGGGAAGCTGTTCTTCTTAGTTTGTGAGGCCTTGCAGCTGTATCCTGCAGGGGCGAGGCGAGCAAGTGTAAAAAGATTGAAGAGGAACTGGGACAGGCAGGCAGGCAGGCAGGCAAGAGGGATGGCGGTCGGGTTTTCATCCAAATGTGTCACGAATTTCAACCCAATTCTCAGTCAGTTGGCAGAGTAAAACGTGAACTTGTGCGCATTTCTGTCTACTACTGTTATGTAAATATTCAAACTTTGCAGTAGGTGGTCCTAATTTTCCACTCAGGCCCCATTATACCACTGTAGAATGAGATGAGGCATAATTAAAGCAAAAGAAAAAGCACAAATGTATTAACATGTTGGGAAGCTTGGTGACGCAGAACAAATTGGACAAAGGATAGAGCGGGGTACTGAACAACCGGCTGTGTGCTTTTGGAAGAATCTAGTAACAGCGAAAGCCTCACGTGACTTCAGTACATCATCATTTATTCACTATGCTGGTTTTATTGTGCTTAGTCGCATGCACCCTTTATCAGAACCAAGTTTTCCACCTTTCTCGAACTAACATCTAAACTAAACTTGCACAAATTGAAAAGAGTTGACAGCTGGAAGGAAAAGCAGCTCGTGTTTACTCTGAACTCTGGTAATTAAGATGTGATTTTCATGCAAAATAGAAGTGTAAAACTGTGAATTTATAGAGAATTGAAGAAAGGAAAAAATTACTAAACAAATAAACAAAAAATAATGACATTTTGCTAATGGAATTGGACCATTTCATTTATTTCTACATGTCCATAAACCAGCTTTTATTGAATCTATTTTGGTATTTCTTCATTTATTTATGTGTATATGTCTGTGTATCTACGTGTTAATAATGCAGGAAGCCGTCACGTCACTCAGAGCCATTGCCTATAGAAGCAACTGTTTGCTTCTGTCTGGTTTGTCCAGCTGACCAAACCCGCCTCAGACTACGGCTAGGACCACCCACCCACTTAACATATGGACACATATTTTTTTCTAATTTTTGTCCTCTTTACTAATTAGGGCTGTGTGATAATTTAATACAATTTTTTTTACATGAGGAGTTGGAGAAATAAAATTACATGCTTTCTTGCAGCAACTTAGATGAGAACACTGACATCACTCTCAGGTCTGAATATGAAGCTGTAGCCAGAAGCCACTCAGCTCAGCACAAAGACTGGAAACAGGGCCAAAGAGCTGCTGAAATCTGCCTACCAGCACCTGTAAAGCTCGTGCAACACATATTCGTACCAATATCTACAAAAACGGTCTCATTTACTTAATCTCTGGGGGGGGGGAGGAAATGTTTTTTTAAAAAAAAGAAGTTTGCAGCGATTGCACTCAGAATACAGAGGTTTAGGTAATTTTTTTTATTCTTTTCACAAAGTAGCATTTATGTTAAGTTGAAGTAGCTGGTGGCTGCTTCATATTTATCTAAATCTCAGCAAGAAATGTCCCAAAAAGTCAAATTATTCCTTTTGATAATCATATCATGCAGTACAAATTATAGGGGTCCAAATAAAAGACATAGAAAGATGTAGCAAAGATTTGATACCAACAGTTTTGTTTAACACATTAAATGCCTGCGTTGCCACATCTTGGTGCCAACTACAGTCTGAAAATATTCAAATAAATGCCACGATATTGATTTAAACTACTCAGGTATACTATTAATCCTCGTCTGTGATGTGCCGTTCGGTCAGGGGACTTGAACAAATCTAAGCTTCAGATCTTGCTGTTTCATCAAAATCACTGTCATGTCTTATTTAAAGGTTTACCAGAAATAAAGCAGTTGCTCCAGATTCTATAAAAACCACAAAACCGTGCACTCCCCAGTGCAGCTGTAAAGCCATTAGTGACTCAGCTGTGACTGACGGACGGGGCGAAAATTTAGGGACTTTTTTTTGGCTAAACTGGGCTGAACTGTTTTTATACGGAGCAGATTGGAGACAGATGAAACATCGAAGTTCATAAAATATCTATAGTATGTGCATGTTTTTCTTTCCAATCCTGGTAATAAGTGTATGTGTTGAATTCAAGTGTTTTCTTTTTTCAATTTTTGCAAAATAAATAATTCAAGAAATTCAACCTTTGTGTTTTATTTTTTATGATTTATGGCATTCTGACTTTGTTATACTGCACAAAAGACATTTTAAAACTCTCTGTTCTTCCAACAATGGTTTTCACAGAGGTGCAAGACTTTACATTGCAGAGAAAAACGAGCACACAGTGGGTATAAATGTGACTGGAGAAGAAGAAAACGCTCAGAAACAGTTCAAAGTTTAGAGGGGTAACAAATGGGCTGTATGATATAATATGGAATAATATACAGTGACGATACTATTTGTTTAACCACGGAGCATATAAAACCATAACATGTACACACTGTCTGAATACTAGAACTAGAATACTACATCATAAGCTGCTATATTTAATTACATGTTGGAATTCATTTTTGCCAGACATGACTTATTATCTCATGCCTTTCCTTGGAGAAATTATCCTCAGCTGCAAACATAAAGGCAGTAACAGTAGAGAGGCTTGTGCATGTGTTTCAGGAGTGTCAGAGGACATTTGTGTGATTTATATTTTGGTTCTCTGCGACAGGAATAACTTACAATTGAATGGGTCTGTTGTAAGGGCTCAATTAGATACACATGGACTCCATCGTCAAACATCCCGCTGCCGGGCAGAGGGAGAAGAAAAGGGAGAGAAGCCAGTCGATACTGAGTCAATAGACGCTAAGGAGCAGAGATGAGTATATCCAGAGATATTCTGAACACAGCAAGGATTACACACAAAACGCTGCTGTTCACTTACTGCAACCCGTTGCAGGTAGATAAGGCCACATGGGAGTTATCGTTCCCTCTCACCTGGCCGTGGTAGTAACAGTGCTCACCGCCCTGCGGGAAGAAGACACAGCAGCTACAAAGCAGCATCACAGCAAAGCAGCTCTACCGCTAACGCAGGATTTACACAGTGAACGTTCTCTACCTCAGAACCACGCGCTTGAATTTCCTAGCAGTTCTAAAAATGTAACAGCTTGTGTCACAGATGCCTGTTTGGCTGTTTTGCTGTGCATATCTGCAGGGGGTCTCCATCTATGCTGGAAGTTAATACATTTGCAAGGTGGGTCCTGGCACGAGTAGTGACTCAGCTGTCAGACCCAGGGTAAGCAGAGGACAACCCCCTTCCTCCTCCATCGCCACCACACCCCACATCTCTCTCTTTCTTTATCTTTCTTGCTCTCTCTCTCTCTCTTCACCCATCCCACCCTGCACTGATACTGCAGAGTGATTTCTCTCCCTTGTCATGTGACCAGAGCTCCAGCAGGAGCTGCAGGGGAGCAAAACCCTGCTGATTCAGCTACAGTATGCCCAGCCCAGCTCTCTGCCTGAATCAGCAGCAGCAGCAGCAGCAGCAGGAACCAGCAGCTATCTCCACTTTCCTTCTGTTTTATATAACCATACAGTTGCACGCTCAAATGCAAATCTATCTATCTATCTATCTATCTATCTATCTATCTATCTATCTATCTATCTATCTATCTATCTATCTATCTATCTATCTATCTATCTATCTANATCTATCTATCTATCTATCTATCTATCTATCTATCTATCTATCTATCTATCTATCTATCTATCTATCTATCTATCTATCTATCTATCTATATGTACATTTTGTTCTTTTGCTTATCCTGCAAAGATCACCTCGATGTAACTGCAGTTGTTTTTTTTTAGATGAATTTCCCAAATGTAGTTTACTTTCACTGCCTCTTTCCTCATGTTCCCATAAAGCCTATCTGTGCCTTTTATTTTTTTACCGACAACAAGCATGACTACACAAGATGAAAACAGCAGAGCAAACAGGATGCAGAATCAGACAGTGTGCATTTTACCTTCGACAGAACAGGTTTCCCTCCTTCATAGTGGATCTCAACATAATCTGAAGACAGCAAGTCACTGATGAAAAAACAAAAAAAAAGCAGAAACCGCAGTTAGTTAAGGTGGAGGGATATGATGCAGCAGTGACAATAAAAACACACAAGTGCCTGCTAGTCTGTCTGTCTGACTCTTGCTTTCTCTGACTCAGATATTGTGGTTTTTAAACTAGCGGTGAGTAGTGCTTTGGCTGGCGTTTAAACAAGAACACTCATCGCCACTGCGCCCGGATTAGGCTGCACAAACACTCCCGTGGCATCTCGAAAGTGCGGTGGAGATGTTAAATGTTGCCTGGCCTCCGGAAAAAATTATGATGCGTGCACTCCTGAGGATAATTAATGAACCCTGCAAGACGCTGCACAAACAAAACTGGATTTGGTAAAAGAAAAAGAAAAAAAAAGAACAATCTCTCAAAAAACATGTAAACAAACTGTACTGTGATGAAAGCTCTCACTCATTATGCAAAGTTCAATTAGAAAATCTAAAACAAGCATCTGAAAGAACTTTTTTTTTTTTTCACAAGTTTCTTCCTCGTGTTCACCAAAATTAGACGGCTGATTGAGACACAGCACAGATAACAGGAACAGAAACAAGTAGCCCTTTCTGAAAGCTGCCAATGAGGCCCTAATGTGATAAATGATTGTGAGGCCTCGGCTTCACCTTGAACACAACGGTCCTCCCGGCGGTTCCTGCTGTCTGAGTCAGCGTCCCTCACCATTACACACACTCAATCTGTTAGCTGACTTCAAGAGACTGCAATTTCTGCCACAATGGCGCTTTTTTCTGAGTAACCTTGCAAATCAAAAACATCCTCCTCTCTGTGGACATGTAGCCGTGTCGCAGCGTGGAGGAAAAAAAAAAAAAAGAAAAGCGGTGGGGGGGGGGGGGGGGGATGGAAGTGATGAATCTGTCTTGTGACACCGGCAGTGTGACATTTTTGAGTGATGCTCAGCAGCATGTGAGCAGGAAGTGCACCATTATGAGAGGAGAGTCGAGGCATGAGCAGCATCTCTGAGAGATTCCTGAGTGAAGAGCTATTTATAGCATGACAGATGAGGCGAGGCGAGAAGAGTGGGCTACACCGGAGTGTACTGGTGTTTGTATGAGTGTGTGTGTGTGTGTGTGTGTGTGTGTGTAGGTGGTCAGCGGCATTGCAGAGTGTGGAAATAAAGCGCTGGAACATGAGCATCTTGAAGGTGTGTGTCTGTTTAAATGTCCGTGAGAGGCACGACTGTGAGACCACGAGGAGGGAGGGGAAAGTCCTGCCTCGAGAGTCTCTCGGCCCGTAGGTGCCACAATGCAGCAGGAGAAGCAGCAGCAGCAGCAGAGGAAAAGCAAGAGAGAGGTGAGGCAGAGAGGGAGGACTAAAAAAAAAAAAACTGCAGGAGGTTCTCACACTTGGCACCAGATCAAATGCAGCTCTAAAATCCTGTGGCAGCACGACGCTGTCACGCCGCTCAGACAATGCGATGATCCGCTTTTAATAAATGAAGATGCTCTGAGGAAAGGTCAGCAAACACCAAAGTATTCACAGAAACACAGCAGGGTGAGAAAAACCTCCCAGGGAACCACGGTCCGTTTTAAAGGAGGTAATCAGCTCCGTTGACGCTCTCTTAATGCGGGACTCGCATTAACTTGCTTAAACCATCTCTTCGGTAGCGTGCAAACCCAGGTGCAGCAAGAGGTGAGCAGATAAAGTAGCACCCATTGGCAGGTTGCAGACCTATCTATATTTAGATCAGTACTGTCGCAGCTACAACACTAAGCAGAATTCAAACCCCTGTTCTCACACAAAAAAAGGCATCTCACAGATAACCTACAAGCAAACAGCTGGGAATCAAGGTCAGCCTCTTCGCTGCTGTGAAGATTTGCTGTTGTATTTTGTTCTGTTGGCTCCTAAAAGTCTTAAAATGTACGAGATAACATTTGATAAACACGATGCAGTGTGTCTTCTGTGAGGACAGAAAGTTACCTCTCTGCTACTTAACATAGGCTACATGTAAATACACGTGATGATGCTATGAAACATTCGCACACAGAATGTACACTGAAGCGACAATGCATCTTTTCATTTCAAGTTAACCTCAGAGAATATTATAAATGTAGCGCGAAGAAAGGCAAACACGCTGCAGACACGGCGGCGGAACAAGACTCCCCCACTGGCCTTCCTGATACGATGTATGTATCTCCAAACAACACAGAGCTTAACAGATTTCTAGAGTCGTACATTTGCACAGCAAGACAAATACTATTTGCTCCAGATAGATGCTGAAATCTGCACTTTGCCGGCCTCTACGCTGGCACTGAAATGATACCCAAACTGCTACAAAGATGGAAGAGCAGCCAAAGTTGCACTTTGCAACATCCACTTCATTACTGTGTCAACAGCTTCTAAAAGGGCAACGTAAACGCTAATTCGCAGGCGCTTAAGCTTACAGCACTTCCTCTATGACGGCTCTGTAATCTGCGATTGTCACTCAGACACAGGCTGAATATCCAGCCACAATAGACGACAATATAAGATTACAGAATCCAGTTTTATATCCCATTAAGGGACGTGAAATCCAATAAGCATTTTTTAGTCCTTGTGCCCGTGTGCATTAAGCCTTCACGTATGTAGACTGGCTACTTTATGTAGGGAGCTAATCAATACCACTGAGCGCTCTGTATGGGACAGTGATGGAAGACCACAGAATAACCGTCTGTCGGCTCATTTTGATGCAGGCCTATGAAGTCTTCACTCAAGACTTTTGTTGTCTAGCTGTTTGGCAGCTGAACTCAGGCTGCTCTTAGTGCTTGGAAACCAGCAAGCTGACCTATTCAATTACAGTCTCGCTGATTACGTTATCCTCCACTGATGCTGCATTAGTCACAGATCTGACATGTAATACTTATGATTTACAACCAATAGTCAGCTACTGATGGGAATCACAAAGGTTGTCGTTTTTGCTACGGCTACGACATTTACCACATGTGCACAGGCTTTATGGCTCAACTGTGCATCCCATCAAGTCCATCAATAACCTTATTGAGGTGCACTTTAGACCTTAAACTTGCATTTTGGTTGGATCATGACCATTTTTTTTCTCTATCAATTCGACTTTTATTTAAAATCTATTGCAGTTTAACTTCTAGTAGGTCCACGTTAAAATTATTCAACGAAATAGCTCTGCTTTAAGAAATAAAACCTGCACCACAGCTTTCATTTAAAGAGTCCTAACAATATTCTACATAGCAGTGCATGATCGTTTGTATAGTATCTGTGCAGTGTGTGTGTCAGTGTGGGTCTGCTGTGGCAAGAATCTTTGGACAAGCAGCGCTTCCTAAAACACCAGCATGAACAAAGACACTGACATCCTGCAGTTTTCAGCTCTGTGCTGTCAACATGACCTTGACAGCACATACTGTTTATAATGAGGCAAATTCAAGTTTATTTTCCAACTGATGTATTTCCCATAAATGCAGCTGATGTGGCTTTATGAGTCATGCCAACTTTGCACTCACTCACTGCAGAAATTTAGGAAAACAATACTTTGTACAAAATAACGTACAGATTTCCAAATAAACATGTTATTCATTTCAAATGCTTGTTTCTGCATCCGACAGAGAGTAAACACAGAGAGTAACCCCCCTGTAAGCTAGGTATCAATGCCTTTAATGGCCACAGAGTCTGAGATTTAGCCAACAAAATCAATAAATTTAACCAAAACGAATTACCGTAGTCAGACAAGATGAGGAGGACTTACTTGTTCAGCGTTAGATCCAGAACAAATCTGGAGCCAAAGGCCTCTAACTGGAAACTGGCTTGGGCGAGGTGGATTGCCTGTAGAGGAGGAAAAGAGTCGTCACTAATCAGATCATATCGGCGTCTAGAATGCTCCAGAGTCCATGTTCAACATCATCTGCGGCCCAGTGCACAAATAACAGATGTGTGGCATAAAATGACAGATGGTAATGTACAGTGCGTATACTGGAAAACGAAAGGCCTCCTTCGGCACGGTTGCTCTGGCATCATTCCAGGTCTTAAAGAAACGCATAAACCGTGTTTGTTCAAGTGCTGCGTGGTGCTCGGACTAACTCGACGGGGTTGAAGGTTTACACCACAAGCCACATCGGGGAGTTCACCGCACATCTTAGGAACTTTTCACAGCATCAGCCTCCCTCATCCGTGACTCCCCCTGCGCTTCCTTACCTGGCCCTCTGTGGGTTGGTTCTTGGCCTGGGTGTTCAGGTCATGGTAGGTGCTCTCCGAGTCCTCGTTCAGGTAGTAGATTAACCGCGAGGGGTAGGTGATCACATGCTCTACTGCATGGTGTGTTGTGTTGTCTGTAGCCGGTGCTGCAGTCGCCTGTTGCTTCAGCAGTACTGGCACTGCGTCCCTCTCAACCTTGTCCTCTACTCCTTGAGAAACTGCAAGGGAATTTCCACCGCACAGATATGAAAAAGCAGGATCGACCAGTGGGCGCGCACACACACGCACGCACACACACACACACCACCAGAGCCAGCTGTCATCCTTTATTCATGAAACACATTGATAACACTGAGGCATAGTGGCTTTAATGCAATTTTTCAGGACACAGTTGGGCTTCATTGGTCACATGCCGTAGTACACTGACAGCTAAATGTGCTCATTGAGAATATACATTGCTTCATTGAGGTAAAAAGCTACTTTTGATTTGCTCGTTGCCAAAGTGAAAACTGCAGCAGACTAATGCACCTGATCCAACAACAGCCTCAGACAACAAGAAAATCACGCACTTGAGCAGGAAAAGAAAAAGAGTCTTAGATGCTGTTACTATAAATGTGGCAACCACACATAACAAAGAGCACTGTTGGTTTTTTTTATTAGCTGAACAAAAGATGCTGGGATGCTGTAGTCTGCCCTCATGCACCATCACGTTGAAGATGCCGCATATTAAATACAGTAATTCCCCGTGTGTGGCTACAAACGCGCCCACAGGACAGGAATCAGACGTGATCTCAGCCAAACACAGAAAGTGAAATGTGCACCTAATTAGATGAAAGTGACAGAAATAAAATAACATAAAAAGAGAGAGAGAGAAGAAGGCAGCAGGGTATTGCAATACGTACCGGATGAAGCTAGTGATGGATGAAGCCAAGGCGAGAGGACGCTGACGAGCAAAGTGGCCAGAAATATCAAATGCATGATTCATATTTGATAACTGAAATATCTCGATATCAACACATCAACGCAGTTAATAGCTGGCGGCCCATCGCGGCGGGGGAGGTGCCGTGCAGGGGGGCTTTCTTCATGGAGACACCGGGCTCTGCTGCAGCAGGAGCGGCTGAGGAGGAGGAGGAGGAGGGCGAGGAGGAGAGTCAGGAGGGAGGGAGGGAGCAGAAAGAAGGCGGTGGCCAGCCAGCTACTGGAAGTCAACCAGCGGGAGCCAGGCTCCTCCTCATCAGCTCGAACGTGTCCTTTCCTCGCCGCGGTGGGCCACCGGTAGCCCGGAGCTTTGCTGCACGGCAGGCTGGGGGCACACATGGAGGGACCGGTGGCACGGTCACTGATCAACCTGTGTTTAAATACATACGTAAATAACAGAGGAAGAAACACAACAAATCATGAAATCAGTGTTAAAACTTGATATTAGCAGTTACATTACCCCTAATGACCAATAAAAAGAGTCGATTTTAATTTCAGGTATTTTTCTGGGATGATGGTGACCTTACAAGTCTTTAAATCATTTTACTGGTGGGATGGGAATTTTATTTATTTATTTTTAAAAAGAGGCTTTAATGTATGTTGATGTCATATTCTGACATGTTTGACAAAATAAGCTTTTTTAAAATTTTTATTTATTTTTAAAAATCAGACTACACATAGGCAAACGTCTTGGTACTGTTAGAATAAAAGTCATATATTTGAAACAAAAATAACCAAAAGAGGAATTCGTGCCACCTAACATGGTATAAGAAGTCCCTCCATGGATGATAATCTTTCAATAATCTTTAAATAATATTGAAATAATTTTACTGGGAGGATTTTATTTTATTTTTTTATGGTTTTGAGGTAAGATGATATAATATTCTGACAGTACAAAATAATATACATATCCAAACTTCTTGCACTGTTAAAATGAGAGTCATATGGAAAGTTATTCGTTAATTTGAACAATAAATAAATAAATAAATAATACATTTCTGGAAAATGTGGAAATCTAAGAGTAGGACTAACTCCCTTGACATCTTTGCTAATCTTTAAATACTATTAAAATCATTTTACTGGTAAAGAAAATCCAACAAAATGGTTTTGGGGTTTTGAAGGAGAACTTCAATGATTTTCAAAGCTTCAGCCTTGTGAATGTTATATTTCTGATAAATTATGCCCACTACAAAACATAAGGGCTAATTAGCAGTATAAAAATAAAATTAATTGTCAAAAAGCTAACTAGCTACCTTCATGCTACGCTAATAGCATTATGCTACATTAGCTGCTCTAGAAGCTCAAGATTCAAGAGTTTTAATGTGTCACATGCTCAGACAGTATGTGCAGTAAAATGCAAAGTGACTGGTCCACAAAGCTGTGCAATAACAATAAGACAATATATGGGAAAAAAATATCTTTAAAAATAAAAAAAAGTTGCCAGTTAGCACTGTAGCACTTGAATTTTTGCAACTTTCAGCCAAACATCCCTGCAGACATGGCATGGTGACAGTAAAGTAAAGCTATAACTGTTGTCACTGGCCCGTTGTAATAACAAAACTGTTTAAAATAAAAAAAACAAAATCAATTTCTGTTTATGTTATGTATCACTGATGTTGAGTTAAAGTCAGAGCAACATTAAAACTTAAAAGTACAGGTAATTTTATGCACAAGTAACAAATCTATTAGCTACTGCTAAAGTGACTCGTGAGGTAAGATTAACTACTTTTTAAGATTTACATTTAGTTTCATAATAAAAAACAAAACAAAACAAAACCACAGTCTGTTAGTCTGTTATGATTTGATTACCCTCCAAATTTGTTCACATAAGCACACTTCGTGTTTACATTTCGTCTTGATATTCAAAAAATAGATATTTTTAAACATACATTGTTCTTAAGGGGGCATCTTTCCCTGGTTTACCCTATAATACACTTAAATTATTGTGGTAATACATTAAAGTCGACAGGCTTTTGTTAATGCAGAAAAATATGAGGGCATTTTCGGCCACTGTAGTAAACAATAACAGGATACAGACAGAATTAAGCTGCTATTTTTAACTTTATGGTTCACTAATTAAAGACAATGTCAAGTTGTTGTGTGTGCTCCTCACTGGTGGAAGAAGCATTAAGACTTTTCAGCAGCACCACATATTAAAAATACTCCACTGCTGGCACAAGCTGCCCTGAAAAAAAGCCTAAACAACCTAAAAACAAATGTTTCAATGCTGAATTAAGTTTAGCCACATTAGGCAACAAATAATATTAATGCTGCTGGTCTCAGTTAGATGCACTTAAATCATTAGAATCCTTTCAAATGGGCATTGTTGTTCAATCTTCAGGAAAGTCAATTTCCATATTTTCCAACTTAAATATTCACTTAAGCCCAACATAAAATGTAAAACAGGATTTTGTCATTACATTTATACCATTCTTCTATTTCCTTTACGCTGTGAACTAAAGGGACAAAATGAATTTCAAAAGTAAACTGCCATAACTCAAACAAAAAGAAAGCAGAGCACTGCAGCTACATCTCAAATACACGTTTTATAGTGTGGTTAAAAAAACAGAGCAAAGCAAATCCCCAGACTCCATGTGGTTCCAAAACAGCCCCGAGTTCCATGTGTGTCAGTTAGTATTTGGTTTTTATAATTATGTAATTTGCCCCTGTCTTGTCAAGTGTCAAAATGTGCTCCGAACAACATTACTACTTGAGTTCATACTGTGCCTACATGCTGAATATTTTCCTGAATATTTTCCTGAATATTTTCCTGAATAATTGCAAACTGCCACACAGAAAACCCAAGGCCAGGTGGTATTCCAGTACAACATGGGCTTTTGTGCAAAAATATTGCAAAGTAAAGCTGCCCTCTAAAGTTTTCTGTGGTGTGCTTTGTTCATGCTTGATTAGGATTTGGAGACAATGGAGTTCCAAAAGCAAATTTTTGCTCCAGGGCTCAGACAAGTTTACCCAGCTCTGCCACTACACATAAAAGTACTGCATTTATAATTCTACTGAATTAGAAGTTCAGAGGCTTTAACAGTAAAGCGCACGAAAACATCAAAAGTGTAGTATTCACTGAGTGGCAGACCCTTTCAGAGCGTTATATTATAATAATTAATTATCATTACTAATACATGCAAGGGAAACAATGCATGATATAACTCTTTTAGGAGTTTCTAATAATCTCTTTTCAACTGCTGTTTGCTATTTGGTGTTTCTAGACCTGACTGCTACCTTTGACACCGTGGATCACAACATCTTCATATCATGTCTTGAACGGTTTGTAGGCATCAATGGCACTGTCCTCAAATGGTTCAACTCATAGCTCAAGTAGCTTCACAGTTCACTTGGATGAACATTCTTTGACTGCAGCCCCACTTACTTGTGGGGTCCCTCAAGACTCCATTTTAGGCCCAGTCTTGTTTTCATTATATATAGTTGAAACCAGAAGTTTACATACACTGTATACACAAACTGTATGTATTTTAGGGCACACCTAAAACATACTGCTTCCTTTTGGGACAACGTGGGAAAATCTAAAGAAATCAGCCAAGATATCAGGAAGAGTGGGCCTCCACAAGTCTGGTTCATCCTTAAGCACAATTTCCAGATGACTAAAGGTTCCACGTTCATCTGTTCAAACAATTATACGCAAGTATGAACAACATGGGAATGTCCGGCCATCATACCACTCAGGAAGGAGACGGTTCTGTGTCCCAGAGATGAAGTGTTTTGGTGTGAACTGTGCGTATCAACTCCAGAACAAAAGCAAAAGACCTTGTGAAGATGCTGCTGAAGCTGGTAAGAGAGAGTCATTATCCACAGTGAAACGAGTCCTGTACTGACACGGGCTGGAGGGATACTCAGAGAGGAAGAAGACATTACTCCAAAAGCAAAATAAAAAAGCCAGACTACAGTTTGCAAATGCACACAGGGACAAAGACCTTAATTTTTGGAGACATGTCCTGTGGTCTGATGAAACTAAAAGTGAATTATATCGCCATAGAGATCTATCTATCTATCTATCTATCTATCTATCTATCTATCTATCTATCTATCTATCTATCTATCTATCTATCTATCTATCATTGTTGCATTTGGAGGGAAAAGGGGGAAGCTTGAAGCCTGAGAACACCATCCCAACTGTGAAGCACGGGGGTGGCAGCATCATGCTGTGGGGGTGTTTTGCTGCAGGACGGATTGGTGCACTTCACAGAATAGATGGCATCATGAGGAAAGAGGAGTATGTGGAAATATTGAAGTAAGATCTCAAGACATCAGCCAGGAAGTTAAAGCCTGGGCACAAATGGATCTTCAAATGGACTGCAATGACCATAAGCTTACCGCCAAATTAGCTACAAAGTGGCTTCAGGACAACAAAGTCAATGCTTTGGAGCGGCCATCACAAAACCCTGATCTCAGTCCTGTAGAAAATTTGTGGGCAGAGCGGAAAAAGGTGTGTGGAGCAAGGCGGCCAACAAACCTGACTCAGTTCCACCAGTTCTGTCAGGAGGAATGGGCCAACTTCCAGCAAACTATTGTAAGAAGCTTGTGGAAGGAAACGCAAAACGTTTGACCCAAGTCATACAGTTTAAAGTCAATGCTACCAAATACGTAAGAAATGTGTGTAGCATTTGACTTTGAAGAAAGTGATGAAAAAATTATCTTTCTCATTATTCTGGCATTTAGCAAATAGAAATAATTTTGGTAATCCTAACTGACCTAAAACAGGAAAAGTTTGGTCTGATTTAATGTCAGACAGTGAGAACAAAAAACAGTCATGTGTCTTTTTATACTGTGTATGTAAACTTCTGGTTTCAACTGTATGCAGCCCTTGGGGTACATTTTTAGGAAACATCAGATTTCTTTTCATTAATCTTTTTAATTAATTAATCAAACAAACAAAACCTTGAACAGCTCAGTCAGATTTGACAGACAAGTCAGCTCAGTGGTCAAAACTAACCCTTATCAGTTAGGACTTATAGTCAAGGTGAAGGCCTATCTCTGTCCCAGAGACTTTGACAAAGTTATTCATTCCTTCATTACCACTCAGTTAGACAGGACTTTTGTAATTGTTTGGTAAAAGATCAGTCATCTTTTCAGCATCTGCAGCTGCTACAAAATGCAGCTGCTTGTCCTCTAACAGGAGAAAGAAAACATGATCACATAACACAAAAACTGGCCTCCTTCCACTGGATTCCTGTCTGTTTCAGAGTTGATTTTAAGATTTTATTGTTTGTTCTTAGGGTTTTAAAAGGGTTGGCATCACCTTATTTAGCAGAGCTCTTACATCATCATACCCCAGTTAGAGCACTGAGCTCGACCAGCCAGATGCTCCTGGATGTTTTGAGATCTGGGAACAAAAATAGAGATAATCGAGCCTTTGCAGTGGCTGCTCTTAATCTCTGGAACATTTTACCTTTTCATTTGAGAGCTGCTCAGAATCTGGAAACTCTTAAGTCACTGCTGAAGATCCACCTCTTCTCTTTGGCGTTTGATTAAAGAGCAGTTTGACACCCTGACTTCATCTCTAATTGTGTTGTACTTTTTATGGCTTTTTACTCGTATTTGTCTTGTATTCATTGTGGTTTTGTGTTTTAAGATTTACTATTTTATTTGTGCAGCACTTTGGCTCCACTCTTTTAAATGTGCTTTATAAATAAATGGGACTCTACTTTTCAGTAAATAATACAAGACTCCATTTTAAATGTAGTCAAGCATGAGTACAAAACATCCTCACATGTTCACGTAAAGCGTCCCAGTGTTAACTTGAGTGGATAGACATTTTACCACTGCATCAGTATTCACGACAAAATTGTGTCAAACTCATCCATTTGCCAATAATACACGGGTCTTTTTCAACGATGACATTACGGCTTGTCATAGCAGCAAAAGCACAGACGTCACCAACATGAACAACATCCTTGTTCAAGGGTCAAGTGTGTACAAAATCAGGAATATGAAACACAAGCAGCTAAATGGAGTCCAGCATTCAATGAATATATTATTCACACCTCCACTGTCTCCTGTGAAAAAAGGCCAGGATACCAGATATATTTTTATTTTTTAGTAAGTCCAGTCATCCACCTACCTCAGCTACAATATAAAAGAGAGCGCTCACAAATCACAGCTATAAAAGCAAAACAAAATCCTACATAAGCATTCACATTTTATTCTAATGTAGAGCATATAATGTGAAGTTATACTTTAGAACTAATTGTGAATTAAAGGCACACTCCATCCCAGACAACAATTTTCATTAATGTTATATTCATTGTTACATCCATCCACCCATCATCTATACACCGTTTAATCCTCACTAGGGTCGCAGGGGGCTGGAGCCTATCCCAGCTGTCTATTACAGGGCTACAGACAGACAACCAAGCACACTCACATTCACACCTACGGACAATTTAGAATCACCAGTTATCCTCAACATGTTTTTGGACTGTGTGTTAGGAAGCTGGAGAACCTGGAGAGAACCCACGCTGCACGGGGAGAACATGCAAACTCCATGCAGAAAGATCCTGGGCGACCTTCTTGCTGCAAGGCAACGGTGCTAACCGCGGAGCCACCCTGCAGCCCTTCATTGTGACAGTAAACTGATTATTTAAATGGTTTGGACCACTAGTCAACAAGAAAATCGCAATTTTAAGTCTACAATTCTACAATTTCGTTTAGCAGATGCTTTTATCCAAAGCGACGTACATGTGAGAGTTGATACAACACAAGCAAGGATCTAGTCAGGAGAAAACAATTTAGATAAGTGTCATAGAACAAGTTCAAATCTGTCATCCTGAGCAATGGAAAATGATATCATAATTTTTTAAAAGATTCTCTGAGTGAAAACGAATAATTAGATTGAAGAAAATGAGGGTCTAACCAAATCAGTGCATAGAATGATAATAAACATCTGCTGCATCCTAATAGCGTCCTTCAAAAGCCCAATTCAGATTTTTGCAGTCATGGATGCTATCTCTATCACATGGATCGACGTTTTAGCGCTACAATTAAAAGTAAATCAGTGGTTATGTGGATTATGCACACAGATCTCTGAGATACTGTCTGAGGAAACGCTGGAGTTCAAGTAATGACAATTGCTACTTTAGGTTTCCTTAAAAGTCCCCTTTTAGGCCTCTTCCTGAGATGGCAGAGCATCATTAAGGAGGCTTGTGTGGCGATAATCAGCACGTGGCATGACTTTCAGGCTTGATTGTACGGCTCCACAGATCGTGCACACATACACAGAGCTATAGAGGGATGTGACAGCTCCCCCCTCAGGGCTGAACGGTCCACATAGGAATGAGACGGTCTTTTTGGGTCGCTGGAGATCGAGACAACTGACACTGCCTGGCTATGTGATGGAACAAAAAGGGATGAGTAAGCAGCAGTGTCCACATAAAAAAGCCTTTGTTAGTGTAGCCTGCCTCACTTTGGAATATTGCACTTAAACTTCATTTCAACTAGCTAATGATGTAAAGAGTAAAATGAATAAACAGAAGACAGTGAAAGTGTTGAACTCATAAAGAAATTAGGGTTCAGTGAGCGAGTGGACAGCAGGTGTTTTGTTTCTGAAAGCTGATGGAGAACCTGCGGGGGCATCACTGACTGAGGTGTGGCCATAAGAGTAACATTTCAGGTCACAGAGAGTGTAGTGTGGCAGCACTGATGATAGGCTGTGATGCAGACATGTGTCTCCATTTTTCTCTATAATTTGAGATTCAGGCCGACAAGACAGCTGTTTTTTTTGTGTGTAAACAGTCATATTTCCTAGTAATTACATTCATATTGGCCAATTTCGCAGCACATATTTACTTCCATTGCCAATATTCAGCGCAAACACAGGAAGTTTGTGTACTGCAGAGGCAGAGAGTGAAGTTGGAAGAGCGGAGAGGTGGATGTGTGTAGCGCTGCACTGGAGTTTGCATGCAATCGCTGACCGGCAATTTTGTCTTCTGTGACTGTAGAGGGAGTTTTCTAAAGTCTGAGAACATAACTAGTAATGATTTCACCGGGGTTATTTCAGCCTGAGCTTCAGACTTTAATTTTAACAGACGTTTGTAACAGTAAACCTGCAGTGTGTATATAAAGTCATCCTCAAACGTATTCACACCCTCGCACTAAAGAAGGAATAAAACAGCTGTCACTGAAATAAGGTGAAACTGACAAAAGTAATAATAAATAAAAATGTAATAAAAATCATGACATTGCTTTTGAAATGTGGTTCAACAGAAATAATAAAAAACAAACAAAAAACAAGCATGATGGGACCTGTAGACTAATATTTAGTTGAACAACCCTTTGAGCCAATCACTGCAATCAAGTGTTTTCTGTAACTCTGTATCAGACTTCTGCACCTGTTGACAGGGATTTTGATTTTTTTAAATTATTCTTTTCCACCACAATTCAAAGCAATGCCATATTTCACTAAACTATAATTTAGCAAATTTTTATTTATTACTACTTTTGTCAGTTTCTAGTTATTTGAGGGACTATTGTGAATTTTGCCTTTTCTTTAATGGAAGGGGATGAATACATTTGAGGATGACTGTAAATATGGAAATTGAAAGATGTGACAGTTTAGATGTGATAAAAAAGAGGCAGTTATGTTGTATTACTGGACAGTTTGGAGGTTGGATCAACTCCATGTGTCCTTGGTTATGTTCCTCGAGCTGTTCCTGACCTGTTTTGGCAATATGGTGAGGTGAAATTATCCTGCTTGTTATTGAGGGTGTGTAATTGATCTGCAACAACGTTTTGGTGAGTGGTACATGCCGAAGTAACATCCACAAGATGCCAGAACCGAAAGATTCCCAACAGAACATTGAACTATAATGAGATGATCAGCGTTATTCGCTTCAGATGGTTTTAATGTTGTGGCTAGATGTTGCATACCAACGCTGCAGTGTGTTAATACTGCAGAAATATTATAACGAGTCACAGATTTCCCACATGAAGGCGTTCATCAGAGGATGTACGGCGCACTCTCTAAAGTCTGTAGCATAATATGTGATGTGGGTCTCTGGAGGAGCTTCAATCAGAGCTTGCTTCTTTTGAAAACTGTGCACAGGGAGTTCGAAGAGGAGGGTGTGCACCAGGCAAGAAGGGTCTAATGAAGGACATTAAAGAGCTGCATAATGACTTTATGATATATGTAGGCGCTGCAGAGCTTGAAAGATATGATGATATCTCAGCCTGCTGCATCATCCATCCATCCATTATCTATACACCGCTTAATCCTCACTAGGGTCACAGGGGGCTGGAGCCTATCCCAGCTGACTTAGGGCGAAGGCAGGGGACACCCTGGACAGGTCGCCAGTCCATCAACATGTTCCAAATCAGGGGCCTATCACCATGCTTCATGTCTGCCAAGCATTCATAGAAATCACTGGCACTGATCAAAATCTGGGGCTGCAGGGTGGCGCAGTTGGTTAGCACTGTTGCCTCGCAGCAAGAAGGTTGCTGGTTCGCGTCCCGGTGGGGCACCGGAATCTTTCTGCGTGGAGTTTGCATGTTCTCCCCGTGCTGCGTGGGTTCTCTCCGGGTTCAAAAACATGTTGAGGTTAATTGGTGATTCTAGATTGTCCGTAGGTGTGAATGTGAGTGTGCTTGGTTGTCTGTCTCTAAGTGTAGCCCTCTGATAGACTGGTGACCTGTCCAGGGTGTCCCTTCACCCTAAGTCACCTGAGATAGGCTCCAGCCCCCCTGCAACCCTAGTGAGGATTAAGCGATGTATAGATAATGGATGGATGGATGATCAAAATCTGGCTTTTGACTGAAATCAAAGCTTTGTCTGCAGATTTTAAAATAAAAGTGGACACTATGCAGAGTTTAAAACCTCCTTTTAAAAAAATATTTAGCACCAAACAACAACTAAATCAGGGAGTTAAATGCAGCCCACAAACTCAGCAGTTCCTGTCTTTGGGAGAAGAAAGAAGAAGAAAAACAAAATGAGCAACATTCAAACTTTTCCGTGAGCTCCCTGAGGGGGGAGAAGCGTGCGTTGATGGTTTACCCTGCAGTTATGAAAAGCGACCACAGCTCCGCTCAATGAAAGCATTCTTCATTCCGTGCGGCTGACCAATAACTTCTCTCCCTTCTGAGGTCCATGTTTGACGCGTCAGCCAGGCGCACCCACTCGCACATCTCAACCCCTCCGCAGCCAGACGCGGAGTTTAGTTTGGATGGAACTCGCGGAAAGACTACACATGCTGCCGAAAAGGAGTTTTTACACCGCCGAGAGAGAAGTCACAAGGACGAGGCCCAGGGAAGAAGAGAGAAAAACGGAACTGAGGAGGCGAAGACTTTGCAGCCGCTTTGGTTTGGATGCCGGCGTTTGGATCAAATAGTGAGAAAAGAGAGAGGGGCGCACTTTTGGGTAAGCGATGCACTTTCTGCCTCAAAGCCGGAAGAAAAGAAGAAAAAAAAACAAAACACTTTATCCCATTAGTATGCCAATAGTGTGTATGTGGCACCGACTATAGCTACTCCGAAGTGTGATCCCCTTTTTGCAGACTAGATATTTGTTATATAAGTTGTGTCCTGAGATGTGTGTGTGTAGATTCTGCAGGTTCTACTTGATTTGCATTGGCTCTGCATTCAGTAGTCTGTTCAGGCATGTTTTTAATTGTTCTATTAGTCAGCCACAGATTTAAATAAATAAATAAATAATCTAAATAGTTTCTCAACTGTGCATTCAAACGGAATATCTGGATGAACTTATGTCCAACAGTTTCTAAAGAACAGATTGTGCTTCTTCTTCTTCTGTTTTAACTTCTTGATTGATAAAGTGTCTGGCTGCTCTACTAATATTCTTTTCAACAAGTTTTATTGGCAATAGATTTGTCTCCTTTTTAAACAATACTACTTTAAAAAAAATCTTAGACATTGATGGTTAATTCATATTCTTACTGTTGTTATAATAGTTTGAAACTTGATTTTTTACCACATTGTTTACTTAAGCTGTTGTTTTTCATACTTCAACAACAGGCTGCATATGAATACATTTGCATTGCGTAATGGAGACTAGAAATAGCCCAAGAAAAACATGTGTGTGACGTACCCAGCATTCACCTCAGGAAAACTGCTTTTTATTTTGCCTCGAGGTTAAACTGTGGCACCCATAGGAGCCCTACTCTGCCCTTTGTAATGACACTAAATAGCTGAGAAATGCGAACCTTTCACCCTTTTTTGATAAAGATGAACAATGGAACGCGTCTTTCTTTCACTGCGATAGTAAAATCTGGTATAACTTGTATATGTGTCGGTTCCTCCCTGTTTACTTTCAGAACAAACCGCATGAATCACATTGTGTTTTTTTCTTTTTTGCCTCATTTGCGTAGCATCTCACTGTCCACATTGTTGAACTTAATGGATGTTGACACAGTGTTCCAGGGGACACACCCAGCTTTAACTTCCAACACAGGAACTGAATGACCGGAAACAGGGACAAGATAGACGGCCAGGTCCTTGGAGAAAACAAGCCGAGCAAAATCACAAAGAGTGCGAGGTGAGAGCATGTGTTAGAGGTTGGATATAATACGAGGCGGTTGCTTACAGGAATGCTTCTAATCATGGTATTTCCCTTCCCACAGATAACCACAGCACACATCCTTGCAGCAATGGGTGACTCCAGCGAAGACTACAGAAACTACACCTATGACTATTACCTGGAGTACGGCGACTTGGAGGAGCTCGAGGTGGACCACAAGCAGAGGGAAACGATGCACATCATCTCAGTGGTCATCTACATCGTTTCCTTCGTGCTTGGTCTGATCGGAAACGGAATCGTCATTTGGGTGACGGCGTTCAAAAGCAAAAAGACAGTCAGCAGTGTGTGGTTGCTCAATCTAGCCATGGCAGACTTTGTGTTCGTGCTTTTTCTGCCCTTCTACATTGATTACATCCTGCGGGACTTCCACTGGGACTTTGGCGTGGCCATGTGTAAGATCAACTCATTTATGTCTGTGATGAACATGTACGCAAGCGTGCTCTTTCTCACTGTGCTCACTATCGACAGATACGTCTCTGTGGTCCATCTTAACTGGTCGCAGAGGTGTCGCACCGTAGAGAGAGCCTGGACCGTATGCGGGTGCATATGGGCGATAGCTGCCATCATGAGCTGTCCGGCTCTGATCTTTCGCGACACCATGCGGTTACATGACAAGGTGGTGTGCTACAACAACTTCCTCCTACAGGGCGAGCACTCGGAACCACACACAGCACTCATGAGACACGTCACAATCGTGGCCATCCGCACCACCGTAGGCTTCCTTCTGCCATTTACTGCCATATGTGTGACATGCATACTTTTGACAATCAAAGTGAATCAATCCCGGGGTTCAGTTCGCCTGTCCAGCTTCTCCAAAACCGTCACTGCGGTAATTCTGGCCTTCTTTTTGTGCTGGGCACCTTTCCATATTTTTAGCTTAATGGAGTTGTCCATACATTCCTCATATTACCTACACAGCATACTGAAAGCGGGATTTCCTCTCGCCACCAGCTTAGGCTTTTTTAACAGCTGCATCAACCCCCTGCTGTACATGCTTCTGGGCAAAAAGGTGCGTCACATCCTGAAGCGCGCCTGTCTGGATATAACAAAGAGTTCACTCAGAGAGCTCAGCCAGTCGATCTCTGCCACTGAGGTAGAATCTGTGCCGGGAGTTCATCAGGACAGCGTCCCGGAAGATTCTGTGGTGTTGTCAACTCTATGATTGCAACCATCGTCAGACATGTGCGGCTGTCTATGAAAAACAAGTGGTTAAGACTGAGGATTACTGAGGCCTAAATATGGAAGAGTATCACAGCTCCTCCTTAGTGTTAAGATTTTCCTATTTTGTTTCATTTGTAGAGTAACGCCTAGTTCAACTGACAGTTACTCTCAGTGGAAAAGCTGAACAGAGCTGTATATAACATGCACATGGCGTTAAAATGTATAAAATATATCATTTATTTTGCACAAGCCAAGTTATCTGCACAGATACAAAGCAAGATAAAGTCATTTTAGATGATCTACAGATAATCTGCATTCATTTTTATATAATCAAATAATATTTTTTAAAAACAAATAATTATTTGGTTGCAGCGTCTCAGTTGTGAGCTGCTTTTCTTTGCCCTCTATAATGAACTACCAGCCATGTGTTCTGGACTGCTGCTCACACCAGACGAGCAATTTGAAGACGTCTCTTTGGACGATTGTGATGATTTTTCACGATTTTTTGGCACAGATCAAGGAAATATTTTTAGTCGCAGCTCTTGATCAAAGGCATTTTTCATATTAACTGATATTTCTATGTACCCTTTTGGACTAAGGTATCTGCTCATTAACACTCAGTAGACTAGTGTGGCTCTTAAGGATGACGTATGACGCAGGTATCTGATTATAGTCTGTAATGTAACATTATTTTGTTTTTATACAGTTTCATAGTGGCTGCTCCAATCATGCATTAAGATTTTTTTAAGTAGTTATTTTATTGTAATATATTTAAAGTAAATAGTGTATATCTTAATAAATGGTTTCTTGGGAACAGTACTGCACTTTGCTTGGGCGTCTTCTTTTCTTTGATTCGATGCTAACCGAGTTTAAAGAGGAGGCTTTGATGTTTTTATGTACACACAGACTAGACTTTCCTGGAGGGTTTAGAAAGTATGCACAGGCCTGACATAAATCCAGATGTGCATTTCCTATTTCCTGAGGGTCTGTTTACAAATGCAGTCATTTCCTGCATTTCCCCCCCTTCTCACAGCGACTTGTAAGGATTACATCACTGGACTGGAAGGATTGTACATCTGTGTGAGAAAAAAAAATGCACAGAAGACCAACAGTTTCATCTTTTTTGCAGGGCTAATGCCCATTTGGCACTTTATAGACAGTCCCAGACCCTCCAGATTGTCTCTGCAGACAGATGTGCTCCTTTGAAATGGCTGAAGATAACCTTAAATGTATCCTCAAAGCACAGATTGGATCTGAGGGAGAGACCTGGCTTGTTGCTGCCACATCACAACAGGCTGTCACAGTCTGGTGTGGATGAGACGAAGCTGAGGGTTCACGTGAACTCACCTGTCACGGTGACTGCTGTCTGAATAACTGCATTGTCAGATTAGCCAGCATTTGCAGAAAAGTAGCTCGTCCTGTTTGGATTATGGCATACAGGATTACTTAATCCGTGACGCAGCAGAATAGTTGAGACAGTGCGCAATCTTGCGTCGCAGTCAGTCTCATGAGAACAAGGTGAGTCAACGGTCCCTGCAAACTACACAAACTACACAAATTTGTGCCACGAACGTTACAAAAGCGTCGTTGTATGTGAAGTTTAGCTGCTGGGTTTCGGTTCAGGTTCGTTGCGTTTTGTTTATTCGGAGCGTTAAGTTTGAACGGGCAGATGGATTTGATAGATGCTGAAACACCGCTTCACACGATGACAGTTTTAGTTTTTATTATCACTTATTGCCGCTACGATATGACAACGTAGCCAGCCTGCTAACCGTTATTAGCTTGTGGTATTTTGGCTATTGTACCGTTACCTGCGGGTTGCATGATATTACGTGAGATTTACAATATTTTTCGGGATGTCAAACCACGAACTACATAATTATATTTATAAAACGTACGCTGAATACCACAGACGTGTATTTTTTTTAATGATATATCGGCTGCTGTTGATAACCAACGTTAGCTAGCTTACTTCTGTTTTTGTTTTGGTAGCCGCATGGAGGCTAACTCGGCTAACATCTATGCTATGGTGCGTCACCCACCAACTCTGAGCATCTTAAACGCCCTGTTGAAACTTGTGAAAAACGTTGTCAGATCGTAGAGCCGACGTTAGAGACCTTACTCATGATGTCGTCTTTCTGACTGTCTCCCAGCATGTTGCGTTTGCCCATTGCGAGCCGGAGTCTCATCCCAGCAGCTATCACCAAAGGAGGGGCGGCTGCAACTCACAATGGTAAGAATATGTCACTTCGTCGGATAAATAATTGGTTGTGTGTTTTCTGTTTCTACACAACAGCCATCTTGTCAGTTGTGTGGAAGTACATTCGTGCCTTGCACCCTTGTTACTTTGTATCACTGATGGATTACAGGCAGGATTACAGATCTGCCAGCTCCCACATTTGGTGCCAGGGTGTTGGCTCAGGTTAAATAATGGCACTGTGTGTCACTAATTTGTCAATACTATGGATTGCCATGACTTTGTTGTTATGTGTTGTGATCTACACGGTGTGCTAGATTTATTTATTAAAAATGAAAGTCCTTGAAAGGGAAGTTTTCATTAAAAAGGGTCTCCTGTCTGTGTTGAAGCTCGCACTGCAGCCACAGCAACAGCAGCTGCCAGTAACCTGCTGGAGGTGTTTGTGGATGGGAAGCCTATTATGGTGGAACCAGGGACCACTGTGTTGCAGGTAGCATGACAAATTTATGCGCACAGTTCTCAAAAGGGGTTAAATTTCCAGCCATTAGTCACGGTATCCACTGCAACAGTGTGTTTTTATTCTGTTACAGGCATGTGAGACAGCAGGCATGCAGATTCCTCGCTTCTGCTACCACGAACGCTTGTCAGTTGCTGGAAACTGTCGTATGTGTCTTGTGGAGATAGAGAAGGTTCCTAAGGTATGTTTTAGGCCCCATGTGTCTTCTGTTTCTGCTCTGGAAAGGCATGCATGTCTGAGACAGGGCTGTGCATTCTTGTAATAATCAGTATTTCTGTTTCACTTATCTTCTAGCCGGTGGCAGCTTGTGCTATGCCTGTCATGAAAGGCTGGAACATTTTAACCAATTCTGACAAAACAAGGAAGGCCAGGTAGGATCAGTCTCACAAATGAAAAAAGTTTTAGGCTTTGTGATGTTATACATGTGTTGTAGAGTTAATATTGCTCTGTAGTTGTATCTAATCGTCTATAGGCTATTCTTAATTGACTTAATATGATAACCTAATCTGTTTTTTGCAAGTTTATTTCCTTGCAGTGAAGATTTCCTTATATGAAAATAACCTAAAAATAATTTTACATGAAACTGTTGTTTAATTTTCCACAGAGAGGGTGTGATGGAATTCCTGCTGGCTAACCATCCCTTAGATTGTCCAATTTGTGATCAAGGGGGTGAATGTGATCTACAGGTAAATCAGAGATAATCACCACCACTGTGAATGTGTTCTTCATGGTCTTGAGTGTTTGTGTATGTTTGGAATTTAGACATTAAAGATTACCTAATGATAAGTATAATTTTGTGTTAAGGACCAGTCCATGCAGTTTGGGAGCGACAGGAGCCGCTTTACAGAGGGCAAGAGAGCTGTGGAGGACAAAAACATTGGCCCCCTCATTAAAACCATCATGACTCGCTGTATCCAGTGCACTCGCTGTGTGCGGTGAGGCTCACTTTAATGTTAGTAAAGCAAGTTGAGTTATTTTATGAATTTAAAGTATTAAAACTTGTACATTTTTTGCAGCTTTGCCAGTGAGATTGCAGGTGTGGAAGACCTGGGCACCACTGGGAGAGGCAACGACCTGCAGATTGGGACTTACGTGGAGAAAATGTTCATGTCAGAGTTATCTGGAAATGTCATCGATATATGCCCAGTGGGAGCCCTGACCTCTAAACCATATGCTTTCACTGCCCGCCCTTGGGAGACCAGGTTTTTGGCTTGTGCTCTACATCTTGATTTACTTTTTAGGGGGTAAATATGTATCTGCACTAATACATTCCCTTTGGTTTTCTGCAGGAAGACTGAAACCATCGATGTTCTGGATGCGGTGGGGAGTAACATCGTGGTGAGCACTCGTGGTGGTGAGGTGATGAGAATTCTGCCTCGTCTTAATGAAGACATTAATGAGGAGTGGATCTCGGACAAAACCAGGTTCCTTTCATATGACACAGAGGTCACATCATAGAAATGGATCTGTGTATCAGGTTTGCGTCATTGCTGATCTCATCGCTGCTATTTCCACTCTGACAGGTTTGCTTATGATGGACTTAAGAGGCAGAGGCTTACTCAGCCCATGGTGAAAAATGAGTCTGGGCAGTTGGTTTCAACATCCTGGGAAGATGTGCTGACTCGAGCTGCTGGAGCAGTATGTTACTCAAGCCTGAACAGCCTCCAGTGATGTTTCGATATCAAAACAGTGATTTAAAACCAGTGGTTTTGATATAGCTGCCCTGAATAACATCTGTTTTATTTGACAGTTGCAAGGAGTTGAAGGAAATGATGTTGCTGCTGTTGTCGGAGGTTTGGTGGATGCAGAGGCTCTCGTTTCCCTGAAGGACTTGCTGAACCGTTTGAATAGCGAGAACCTGTGCACTGAGGAGGTGTTCCCCATGACCGGAGCCGGGTAAGATCATACAGAGGTGGAAACTGATCGTAGTGCAAATCAAGTTTGACAAGCACCGATGTTATGTTTCTCATTTTACCCTTGGCTTTTCTAGATCTGACCTTCGCTCAAACTATTTGCTCAACACTGGAATTGCTGGCATTGAAGAGGCTGACTTGGTTCTTCTGGTTGGCACTAATCCACGCTATGAGGCGCCTCTGTTTAATGCACGGATTAGAAAAGGGTAAATTGCTGTTAATACATTGTTTATGGCTGTTTAATAGCAACAAAAGTCAGAGAGATGGTAAACAAAAAAAATGCTGTTTCTTCGATACGATATTGTTTTCTCTGCTACAGCTGGCTGCACAATGAGTTGCAAGTGGCTCTTGTGGGGAAGGAAGTTGACCTGAGCTACACATATGATCATCTTGGGGAGTCTGCCAAGATCCTGCAAGAAATTGCTTCAGGAAACCATCCATTCTCCCAGGTAGCATGTTGAGCCCTCTCAGTTATGAATGTCATAAGTCAACTAGAAAGACTTTCTAATTTCATGTTGTTTATCTCCTCTTGCAGGTTTTGGCTAAAGCAAAGCATCCTGTTGTTGTCGTAGGCAGCAGCTGCCTGCAGAGAGAGGATGGAGCTGCGATAATGGCCGCTGTGTCGACTATTGCTCAGAACGCTCGCGTCAGCAGTGGGGTGGATGAAACCTGGAAGGTTCTCAATGTGCTTCACAGGTCAAAGTCATGGAATATTTGTGGAAAAGCTTTCTGTAGCTTCCGGTAACACGACAGGGATTTTTACTGTAATGTATGTGCTGCTTTGCTTGCATCATCAGGGTTGCCAGTCAAGTGGCTGCACTTGATCTTGGGTACAAGCCTGGAGTGGAAGCTATCAGGAAGAACCCACCCAAAGTTCTGTTCCTACTGGGAGCTGATGCTGGCTGCATCACTCGCCAAGACCTCCCCAAGGACAGCTTGATAATTTATCAAGGTCAGCTTTTTAAAAAGTTTTTGTTTACTACACAACAGCAGAAGCTAATCTACAAAAGCTCAAAGCATATTGTATTTACTTCACTTTATCACATTTGAGACAGGCAGTGTAATTCCTGACAAATCATCTTGTGCATGTAGAGAAGGTTGTCCACGGAAAATACGAGTAAAGAAACTAAATGAATGCAGATGTTTCCATAAAATGCACAAGAGGTCACTGAATGGTTTAATTTAGGTATGAAAATAATGTGAAGCGTATTCTACATGCTTCACAGTCATATTTTGGACCAGTTCTTAGACAGTGCCCTCCATTACCATCATTAAAATGTCCAATAAACAGTTTATACTAGCGTAACTTTATGAATAAGTTTGAATGTTTGCCATAAGTTATTTAAGAAAGTAAAAATGTAATATATTCTATACTCGTTACATGCAAAGTGAGTAAAGTAAAATAATTTGCCTTTTTTCCATTTTAATTTTGGTGATTACAGCTTTAAGCTCATGAAAACCAGAAATCCAGTATCCTAAAAGATTAGATCATTTCATGTGGAGTTTAAGGAAATTACTGTTCAATCAGTATAAATACTGCGCATCTCTCGGTCTAGTTCGGTACTCACAACCACAATCATGGTGAAGACTGCTGACTGGAAAGTTGTCCAAAAGACGATCATCGACGCCCTCCACGAGGAGGGTAGGCCACAGGATGCTGTTGCTGAAATGGCTGGCAGCTGGCAGAGTGCTGTTTCGAAACATATTAATGGAAAGTTGCCTGGAAGGGAAAAATGTGGTAGGAAAAATTGTACACAAGCAACAGGGAGGACAGGATTGTCAAGAAAAGTCAATTCAGGCACTTGGGAGAGCTTCACAAGGACTGAGGCTGATGTCAGTGAATCAAGATCCAGCAATGCAGGAGTTTACCAGGAGATTTTAGAGCCCTGCATGCTTCTATCTGCTGACAAACTTTATGGAGATGCTGATTTCTTTTTTCAGCTGCACTTAGAATCTGCCCACAGTGCTAAAACTACTGCTAAATTGTTTACTTGTTTATTATTTATTGCTGTGTTTGATTGGCCGGCCACCTCACCTGACCTGAACTGCATAGAACCCAGAATGGTTATGAGGAAGATGAGAAACACCCGACCCGAAAATACAGACCAGCTCAAAGTCGCTATTAAGGCAATTTGAGCTTCAGAAACCGCCAGCAGTACCACAGGCTGATCGCCTCCATGATACAATAATTTGTGGTAAAAGAGCCCTAAAAAAGTATTGATTGTGTAAATTAAAATACTTTTCAGAAGTGGGACATTTCTGTATTGTGAATCCTTTTTTTTAATTGATCTTAGAAAATATTCAAACAATCTGAGATACTGTCATTCTAACTTTCACGAGCTATAAGTCATAACCATCAAAATTAAAAGCAAAAAAGACTTGAAATATTTTACTTTACATGTAATAAATATAGAATAAAAATTAGCCTTTATCATCAATCATATTCTATTTTTTGAGATGAACTAGTGTTTGAGGAGTGCATGTGAGAGAAACTAAACTTACTTAATTTCAGTACCTTTTTTTTCTTTTTTGGAACTGCCCAGGTCACCACGGCGATGTTGGCGCACCAATGGCTGATATCATACTTCCCGGAGCAGCGTATACTGAGAAATGTGGCACCTATGTGAACACTGAGGGCCGTGCCCAACAGACAAAGGTGGCTGTGACTCCTCCGGGCTTGGCCAGGGAGGACTGGAAGATCATCAGAGCCATATCGGAGGTGAGCTGCAATACAGGCTAAACAGGCTATGTTAAAGCAAACAGAAGAAGACTTAATGCTGTGTATTTTTCTTTCCCCTTTCAAAGCTTTCTGGAGTGACTCTGCCATACGACACTATCGATGAAGTGCGTGATAGACTGGCAGAGGTTTCCCCAAACCTGGTGCGATATGATGACGTTGAGGAGGCCAATTACTTTAAGCAGGCTAATGAGCTGTCTAAGGTCAGCAGTTATCTTTCTCTGCCATGTGTTTAGTTGGCCAGTGAGAAGAAACTAATAGAGCTTGACACAAATGTTGGCTTGTAAAGTTGATTTATCTTCGTTTGTCATGCCATATGACGATGGCGGTATCTGGCTTATCTCTTTCAGGCGGTGAACCAGGCTGTCCTAACTGAACCTTTAGTCCCTCCACAGCTTACTGTGAGGGACTTTTATATGACAGGTGGGTTACCAGTCATCTGTACTATTCTATGTTTCTCTTCTCACAACCTGGGCGAAGATTTTCATTCCAAAGTCCTCCAAGAATCACAGCAATGTATCAAGTAGCTAATTTCAAAATAACCACGTTTGCTTTATTTTCATAGGGCGAGCACTAATATAGTAATCCCACATATTGTAACATACAGCCAAAACTAATTTGCAGCGTGTCCTCAGCGAGCACTAATACACGAGGCATTTTTGTCTTTCCAAATGGAATAAGTCCAAACGTTTCCCAACAGCAGTGTTATTATTATTATTATCCTCCCTGAATACAGTAATAGTTTAGGGTGTCGTGTATTTAGAAGAAGCATTCTTTCAATTCCAGCTCGGCAAACTTGGCCAATTTGACATGCTGTGTTTATTCCTGTGCTAGAAAGTGTTCTGTTGCTCTGCAGTTGAAGACGGCAAGACGGCCACATCACCTACAGTGGTCTCGAATCTTTTGGAAACTACTGTTTACGTAGCTGCCAAGCATTTGCAGACAGAGCACACGTATTAAACACCTGTAATAGTGTCAATTACAGTTTTTTTAATTTACCCTCAAATTAGGTTTAAAATCACTTAAAAAAAAAAAAAAGATATACATTTAGACTGAGTGGTGTTTATTCTGATGCTTTTTGATTGAGCTCTTACTCACGATAATGTTGGAACAAAAGGCTTCTTTTAAAGGCACCTGTTTTGATATCATGGATCCAGACTGCATGTCTTGTGGTATAAAGTGGTATAAATATTTGGACAACCGATGGTTATTGTATAGCAGGAGAGAACAGAAACGTAATGAAATATTATCTATTCTCACAGTAGTGCTGCTAAAGTGATGTTAAAGGTGATGGTAATTTGCCATGAGGTCATGGTAAATCAGCTCAGTTTGTGTCCATTAGTTTATTTTATGACAAGGATAAGACACATTTTGCCAAAAAGAAAGGCTTTGGGGGCATTTTTAGTTTAAAAAATAAAAATTTAAGTGTGGTCAGAAAAAACATTGGATTTGATATGCAGTGGATTTCAATAGTGTTCAAGAAATTCATATCAAAGTAAGAATATTACAGAGTAATGCTGGCCAGAAATCCCTTTAGAGGCCTGTGTTATTCTTTACATTACGTAGTGTTAAAGCATTCTTGTAATAATTTTAAGATCTTAGAGTTATTTCATTGTCATACTGGAGAATATCCAAACTAATTACCTATACCTAGAATTTCCAAATAGTATTACAATGTTGTAGTTGTTTTCATTCAAATCTTACAGTTCTTCCATTCTTACAGTGCACTTTCCAGCCAAATTTTGAGGAATTTGAGGCACTATGAACACAATGCTCCTTAGTTTAAAGCTTGTAGCCCCAATCTTGTCAAGCTCTTTTTTTTTTTTTAATTACAAGTTTACCTACAAAACATGCAACCAAAGCACTCCTGCAACTTTACCATTAAACTTGTAAGATATTCCACTTTTCAATTTCATAGAGTCGTAAACAAACAAAACTTTTCTAGTTAGGCCTAGTTACTATGTTAATTTTTGGTCTTCAAAGTGGTGTAAGTATGCAAATTTTAAACCTGCCCTCAATTTTTACCCACAGATCCGATAAGCAGAGCCTCCCAGACGATGGCGAAATGTGTGAAAGCTGTCACAGAAGGAGCTCAAGCTGTGGACGAGCCGGCCATATGCTAAAGCACAATGGATAGCAATCCAGTTCTTTAAAAATGATACGCACAACTCCTATATTTGCACATTCCTAGAAACATGTTTATTTGCACTTGTGTTTTCCCGTAGTAGATGTTTACCCCGTAGCAGATGCCTCATTATCTAAACGCATTATGGACCTAACATACCTGCAGAAACATGTGTAAGTGCTACTTGAAGAGTGAAGATGTCAGCCTAGATTGTTATTACAAATGACGTTGATATTTTTAGTAGATGTGACCAAAGATTTAATCTTTACCCCTCAGAAGGTAAAACTTGTCTTCCTGTGAAATTACCAGCAATTAAAAGTGTTAAGAATATATTTTGCTTAAGGTATACAGAGTTTATAGTATTCCACGTGTAGCTATTTGTAAATGTGATATAAATTAATAAACTAATTTTCTGTAGTAAGATTAATGAATCTGTGCAAACCCAATATTTAAGTTTGTTCTAAAAAAAAAAAAAATCTAAATATGTGTTGATGTAATGTACTTTCCTGTTTTGGGTGATAATTACTCAACTTTTCCTGTCTGGAGCTCTTGTATCTGATTGGCACGTGGTCCATCATTAGTGAACAGCCGGCAACAATGTGGCAGCAGGGCTGATAACTCATTCATATGGAGGATGATAGTCGTGGTCCAGGTGGATTTTACACTGAAACACTTTGCTGGACCTCTCAGCCACTGTGTTATAACCCAGTCGTTGTAAATGTGTAACATGTAAACAGGACTGACTGTCACACAAGCCGTCATTAATTTCATAAAGAGATTAACGTGATACTAGTGCACTGCAGGGGCTTTTAACAAAGTTGAATTTCCAATATGGTAGGAGAGGTTGTTGTTGTTGAGCGGATTGTTGTCATGTCCCCGCAGTGCCTGTAGTGGTGCTGTGAGGAGTCTGCTGTGGATCCAACAAAAATCCTCAGCAGCCTACCTACTGCTTGTAATTTGCTCTGGATAGCCTATATTTACATGCATCCTTATTTCAAGATATACCGAGCTCGATGAAGATCACCGTTACCATCCTATCTCGAAGATCGATGCACGAATAGCCTAGCTGATTCTAATAGACATTTCGGCCGTCTATCTGGAGCGAATACCTAACACAGCCCATACCAATTCAAGGTAAGCGAAATCGACCACAGCCTCGACCTCGATTTCTACGCGTACCGTTTTGCGCAGGCCTTGGTCGGACCGGCGGTCTACTAGAGACCGCTGTCCAATCGAAGCTAAGAGGCCTCGTATTTGTGACTTATTTATTTTCTTTATTGTGATATGACAAAATGACTCGTTGCCCTAAGCAAGTGTGTAGAATTATGCAATATTTACAGTTTTAAGTCGTGTATTCTGCTAATGGCACGTTATGTAACGATGGTGGCTATAATTCATATCGATTATCACGGAGGCCTTCGAGAACAGGCCTTAAGCCTCGTATGTATAGCCTTTGTTTGAAAGTATTTGACTATAAATGTACCATGTTTAAATACCATAAAATCTCACGACTGGGGCCGATAAATTATTGCTTGTATTTTAGGATTATTCTTTCATTTTTGTAAATAAAACTAAACTGGAAATAGCCCTTTACAGTGTTACCATTCTCTGATGTTTCCGTTTCCTGGTTAGCTACCGCCTACTAATTTGTGTTTTTAGCTTTGTTGGCTAACTAGCAAATTTGACTTTTCTTGTGTGGCCTATATTGATAATATGAGTTTCTGACTGAAGAGGGATAAAGTTGTGCCTTTTGCATTAGGACATGGGTGGCTGTTACAAGGAGATATATTTACAAATCCATTGTATAAAGTTTCACAGCTGTCTAGCGGCTCCAAGCTAATGTGCAAGCTAGCTACTCAAAAGGTAGTTAGGCTAGCTAGCGTTAGTCACAGTTTGCTGCCTGTCCGGTTTTCCTGGTCTAACTAAAGTTGTTAGCTCATGCTGATTAAAAAGGGCGCTTGAACAACCTGTTACTGTGTCCAGTGTGCACTTCGTCTGTGTGAGCCGTAGCGCTCTCAACACCAACTTGAAAACATAAAGTTTAAGGTAGCAGCTAAGCTACATTTACAGTGTGTGGTAGTGTAGCTGTAGCGCCCGATTTGTTTGCTTACTAACTGTAGCAAGACATTTTGAAAAAAGGAAAAAAAAAAAAAAAAGTGTGTGTGTGAATTTCTTGCTATATCGATAAAGGTTTATTTTTTTTCCTGTTGAATTACTTGAGTGTGTTGTCTAGCTTTTAACTTAGAGGGGCAGAGTGCTCTCATGCATGCAGACTGATTTACTACCTTCATATTATCTTGTAACTAACATGTCCCAGGATAATTTAATAAACTGTGGAATAAAGTACGTATTCTGTTTTTGCTACAGTTTTCTCAATAATAGAATCTGACAAGCAAAATTGGAAAGCATGGAAAGCAATTAAAATCCACAAGCAAATTGTTTAGACTCAACTGTTCTCAAGTATTTACATTACATTGTCAGTACTATGCTAATTATTTACAAGTCACAGTAGTTTAGTGAACAAGTAACAGTTAAAGAAAGTAATTGCGCGTCTTGGATTGTTGATTTATTTTTGATGTGACACAGAAAACGTGTAAGCGGCAAACTGTGTTGATTTTTTTTCCCCCTCCTGTTACAGAAGAGTGGACTATTGCCCTGACTGTTAACTCTGCATGTGCACCGACGGTTGCGTCCTCAGTGTAAAGTGTTAGTGATGTAATTCTTGGTTTTTCCTGCCTTTATCCCATCAGCTGATGTTGTCAAGGACAAGAGTCACGTGATGTATGAAGGCAAACACATACACTTCTCAGAGGTGGACAATAAGCCGTTGTGCTCGTACAGCCCAAAGCTCTGCAAGCAGCGCCGACTAAATGGCTACGCTTTCTGTATCCGGCATGTTTTGGAGGATAAGACGGCTCCCTTCAAGCAATGTGAGTATGTGGCCAAGTACAACAGCCAGCGATGTACCAACCCCATCCCCAAGTCTGAGGACCGCAGGTGTGTATGACTGTTTGCATGTGTGCCACATTTCCACTTTGTTGTACAGAATATTGATCGGTCGTGCGCAGCATAGTGAGGATGTGTCCTTGTTTTCCAGATACTGTAACAGCCATCTGCAGGTTCTCGGCTTTATCCCCAAGAAGGAACGGAAAAAGAAACATGATGCTTTGGAGGAAATGCGCTCACGGGCTCACCTGGAGTCAGTGGCTCTCAATATAACTGTGCCCTCTCTAGCTCTCAAAGTTCCCAATGGTCTAGATGAACTTCCACCATCTCCCCCCTGTGGACGCCTGTTACCCCTCCCTGACGGGGAGCTTCTGGACCCTTTTGCCTTTTATGAGGATGACACTGACGGGGAGGAGGTGGGTACTCCTCGGAAGGGCAACGCCATCAAGAAAAAACTACAGAGTCGGCTGGTGCTAAACCAGAAACTCTGCCATGACACTGACCTCTTCCAGCCACCCCCTGAGCACTTTAGTCCCTCCCCTGTCCCCCGTGTACATCCCTCCTCGCCGCTCAACACTCATCTTCCACGGCAGCAGCCAGGTCTTCTCCAGCCTCCCCAGCACTCCAGCGTGACTTCCTTCATCTTCCCAGGACAGCAGCAGGGTTTATTATGCAATCCACCACCACCTCAGACGGTCAACTTTCTGCCTCCAGGGATGCCCGCTAATGCAGCACCCAGTCCAGTGCAACATTCTGGGCCATCACTCAGCAGGAAAATGCCTTTCACTGCTACTCACTTGCCTGTCAGTTGCAAGGACAGCGGCAGTAACAATCAGCGGCATGTGGTCGTCATGCGTCCCACTGTCTTCTCACCTTCTGCCAGCTGCCTGGCCAGGTTGCAACATCTGGTGCAGCTCTGTGCCAAGAGACATCGGGAGCAGGGAGACCTCTTTCCTCATCTAGGTGAGTTATTTTAAAATGTTTGCCACCAGTTTTTAGATTCAGAATTGTCCTTATTTATATTTTGAAAGGCTATTTACGATAGTTTGTAGAAAGATATGTGTCTAACCAAGCTGTCCTACAGGATTGGACTGGTCAGAGGACAGTGCTGATGATGATGATGAAGAGGAGGCAGAGAGATTTGCTCCTTTTCAAAGCTCTTGGAGACCACACAATGGGTTGGTGTCTTCATACTTAACCACAGTGTATAGTTTAGCTTGTTGCCTCGATGACTGACGTGTGTTTCCTCTGTAGATTGGAAGACGACAGTGGTTCCTCTCGGAGAACACGGCTACTTAGGCTTTGCTCATACCTCCAGGAAAAATACAAGCACATGTGCAGGCAGGAGAGGGCGAGTATCCGCCAGAAGAGATACCGCTATGCCTTCCGCAAAGCCTTGCTGCACGCTGCCAGTAACAACCCCGACTGTGCAGGGCAGCTGATCCAGGAGTTGAGTGGTGCCTCTCGCAGCTCCTCAGGGTATTGTCACAACTGTCACATATCAGTCGGATGTGTTTATCTGTTAGGACTCACATAAACACAATAAAATTAGTCGGTCACAGCTTGATTAGTCTCGTCACATCACCACCTGTAAGTTAGAAATCCACCGATCAACAGATTAAGAAAACAGTGATTGATATCAGTGCTTATTTGTTTAGATCTTTATCTGAGAATTTCCAGTGAACATAACCTTAAAATGCGTACCATTGTCGGTGTTTTTGCTCAGTCCTGGATCTGTTTTTCTCTGCAGTGTGACTCCAGCAAGGCTGCAGAGCACAGATACGGGAACCTGCACTGGCAGCACAAAGGGCCAGACCTGCAACAACAGAGCTCTGCCCTTCACTCGACACTGCTTTCAGCGTATCCTTTGCACCACAACACTGATTTCAGAGCTGGTAGCTATAAGTGAAGAACACAAGGCTGTGATTCTGTTATCTAATTTACAATATGATTTAATAAATCTCTGTTCTACATGCTTTTTGAATATCACATACTGTGAGGTACAATATGGCTTTGTGCTGGAGTATTACCACTGCATGCCTTCCATCTCGTGTATTGTTTTTTTTCCTTCATTGTTCTCTGTAGACATTCTGTTGAATCGTTCCCAGCAGCTCTTCGCTAGTTGCACAGCCAAATTTGCAGATGGTCAGCAGTGCTCCATCCCAGTGTTTGATATCACGCACCAGACACCCCTCTGTGAAGAGCATGCCAAAAAGATGGTGAGTTCAGGTTTCAAGGGAAAATCGGCAACATTTTGGGAAATAGGCTTATTTGCTATCTGCAGAGAGCACTGTCACATCTGTAGGCTAAACATGCGACTTCTGCCAGCAGCCAGTAAGCTTAGCTTAGCATACAGACTGGAAATGGGGTGAAAACAGCCAGAGTGTCTCTGACTAAAGGTAGCAAAATCTGCCTTCCAGCACCTCCAGATCTCACAGAATAAAAACTTGTATCTTGTGGAGACACGAGGAAGTTACTGGTTCTAAGAAATAATCCAGCACAAAAGTACTGAGAAGTACATGTTTCTTTTTATACAGTTTACACAAGAGAGGTACAAGGTTTAAATTAATGGAATGTTGAACTTTAGATGTGCTGACAGGCAGATGTTTTGTCTTTGGACCAGGCGCTTTCTCCTGCTTCCAGTCTCTGTGCTTTGCTAAGTTCGCTGGCTGCCAGGCCCCAGTTTTGTCATCTGCAAATAAGTGTATCTTCCAAAATGTCAAACCTTTTCTCTTTCAATTGTGACTCATCTGTTTGACTTCATTTCCATTCATTTCCTCCCAGGACAACTTCCTGCGTGGGGATGGAAACCGTCGAGTGCAGCACCAGCAGCAGCAACAGCGAAAGCCCCGTAAAAAGACCAAACCACCGGCACTCACCAAAAAACACAAGAAGAAGAGGAGGAGAGTGCCACGGAGGCCTCAGAAACCCATCCCTCCAGCGTTGCCACAGGGGAACCTGGGAATGCCTTCTACGAGCCTAGCAATGCCCTCGCACGCCATCAGGTCTGTTACACCTGCATCGCTGCACTGTTGAGTTAAAAATTCAGTGTGTGGGGATCCAGTTCCAAGGAGGGCATCCTCATTCACCGGTTCTCATGTCACACATGTTCTAACAGCTCCTTCACTACAGTGGCATGTTGTGTTTCTTAAACCCCCCCCTTTTTCCATCTCTTGTCCGTCACAGGAGCCCTTCAACTCCAGACCTGAGTACAGAGGAGCTTCCTGACGATATCACCAATGACATGGCAGACATTCCAAATGACCTTGAGCTAAACCAGGAGGATTTCTCCGACGTGTTACCCAGACTACCTGATGACCTGCAGGACTTTGACTTGTTTGAAGGTTGCTTTTCAGATCATTCTTGTGCACCACTATGCCTTACATGTGTTTACTGGCAAAGCCCTCTTCATCTGTGATTTTATGATGATAAATGTTGCTAATGTTTGTGCAGGTAAGAACGGGGAGCTCCTGCCCACTACAGAAGAGGCTGAGGAGTTGGTACGTGCACTGCAGGCTATGGGGTCCTACCCAGACTCTTTGGTGTGCCTGTCCTCCATGGGAGACCTGGCCCCTGCTGAGGCGGTGGACCACAGAGCCATGACTGTGTTTTCTGGTCCAGTCCAGCCGGGGGCTATGGGAGACCTGCTCAACAGCCGCATCCCTACAGAGAACTTCACCAGCCTCGAGCTGGAGGACAATCTACTGCAGTCCACTGGGGATCACTTTCCCCCCTCGCCGCCATCTCAGCCCACGACCCAGCCCCCAGCAACGTGCTCGAACCTGACCTCATCTTCTCCTGCAGTAGCCCCCTCCACCACCTCCCTGCTCACTCAGACCTCCATACCAGAGCGGACGTTTTCTCGGACACACTCGTCCCACGTCCTGGCCAAGTCGGACGCACCCACATCATCTCCCCAAGGCAGCCACTACAGCAGTGAGCATGTGCCATCCCCATACAGTGACCACATATCTTCTCCCCATGCCAGCACCTTCCAGACAGACGCCCCTCTGCTGCTGGAAGTCCCTCTCAGCGGGGTTCCAGGACCCCCACGGTCGACATGGAACAACCTCCCTCTCCCCCTCACCGACCCCACACAGTTTGGCAATCTCATAGGATCAGAAAGTCATCTCATATCCACCTCCCTGTCCACTCCCCCCGCCACCACGCACTCTGTGACGCTGCAGCCCATGGCTGCTCTCTCAGCGATGCCCCAGAGCGGCTTGACTGGTCTAACGACTCCTCCGGCTCCCTCATCCTCCCTGCCATCTTCCTCACACGATCTTTTGACTTCCACACAGCCCAAGCAACAGCTCCCTCAGTTCAGCGCGGCCTTTGGCCATCAATTGGCCTCCCACAGTGGCATCCCGAAAGACGTGCAGCCCAGCCACAGCTCCACAGCGCCCCCTGCTGGCTTCTCCATAGTTAGTGCCACCGCTGCAAGTGCCAACAGCACCGCACCACCCTTCACGCAAAGTAAATGAGAGCAGGCGGCATGCAGCGGCTGCATGATGGTCTGTGGACTCACAGTCACTTACAATCCAGCTGACTGGCTTCTGATTAACCACCCCTGTTCACCTGCTACATGTGTGCAATGTGGTAATAGTGCACTATTTGATAATGAATTTGCACAACCTCAGATTTTCCTCAATATTTTCTATTTTTGTTCGTTTTTCCTTCTGTAGCCAGACGGTATCTGAGATTTTAGGTCAGTGTGAGTCCACTCGTTTGATGCCTTGTGGTTTCGTCAGCAGGGGGTTACAGTCAGATTTTGTGTTGAAATAAACGGGTGAAAATTGGCGGAAGGACCTTAGCAGAGATTATCTGTCACAGTGCTCAGAATTCATAGAAGCCTCAATCAGTGGTCGGTTTTTGTTTGCTTTGCCAGTTTAAGTCCTGTCTTAAAATGATCAACTGTACCCTGCCTTGCTCAGATGGCCATTGCATTTATTTTATTTTTATTTTTTTAATTTTCCCACTTGTTTCATACACTGCTTCTGTCACCCTCTGAAAAACTAAAGTACAGATCGTGACATTTTTTTGTGATCCATTATGTTTCAAGCTATTTAACTGTTATCATGATATAGAATCTTACTGAGTCAGATTTCACAGTCATATGAATTTACCAAAATACTTTTAAACAGCTGTTTTTATATTGTGTATATTGTATATGTGCTCATTTATTGGTTTGCTCAGACGTCAAAATCTCTGACCTCACCATTGGTTGTGGGACTCTGAGTGGCCTAGTAGACACTTGAAGGTAAATATAGTTTCTTAAAGCAATAAACACATTAACATAACTCTAGCATTGTAAGGTATTTTATTGGTCTCATTACATGTAGCTTACACCTGCTGAATCCAGGCTGGATCAGGACTACATTTTGGCCTCTATAACTTGGAAATTTTTGATTTTTTTTTTTTTTTACAACAGCTCCACTCAGAGACTAAAGAGGCAAGAGATCAGGTCAACTTCTTCCCTCTGAGTGGATTTTTTTTTTTTTTAAGGCTAATAAATTAGCTACAGTGTTACGGTGAGGATGGTGATGGCATAAATCCAGGGACTTTTAAGTGTCTACTCTCCAAGGTGCTCTCTAGTCCACATATACAATGGTCTTTAGTGGCTTGCATGTCTCGTAAAAAGAAGAACTCCACTGTAAGACAGACCAGACTGACCCAGAGAAGGCTTTAGGCAGTGAATTGGTATTTGTACTGAAAGGTGTAACTCGATGGTATGAATTGGTATTTTGCACGTCTGAAGTAAAGCACTGTCTGTTTTACTCCGTTATAAAGTGATTTTAAGCTAAACGATGCAAACCTGCTATCTGGTTGTAGTGTTAGGAAAAACAATGAGGACTCATCCACCCGAGAGCCCCCCCACCCTCCGACCCTGTCAGCTCACACGGCAGTACAACCACGGCTTTTGATAGATATTATATTAGACATTTGACAGATGTGTCAGACATTGTTGAGTATTAGGTATATAGAATAGCAGTCTCTATCTTGGGGTTTGTTGGTGAATTATTGAGTAGCAATGGATTGAAAATTGTTATTTGCAATGTATTCAGTGGAACCTGTGTCTTGTAGAGTGAGTCTCGTTTTTAATGGCTATCAAAATTGGTTGTAAGTTCTCTTTGTTGGAGGGATCAATGTTTGTTTGTATGCTGTCGTTTTTTTGTTTTGGTTTTTTTTTCGATCTGATGGAGAATATTTTTTTTGATAGCTATTAAACTCCAGGAAGAAGTCTTGAGATTGCATGGGGCGGCAACCTTTTCGTGAGAGATATCATTAGTAGATAATGGCCGCTGGCTTGATCCTTGGTGGTATGAATTATTGGACTATATGCATCACTTTGTGGAGGAAGAAAAAAAAAAACAGATCAACTTACTATTTCAGTCTAGATTTGCACAGGAGCGGATGAGGCCGGTGGTGTTTCACGTGTCCCATGTCTGTCTTGCCTTTGTTTTTTTTGTTTTGTTTTGCTTGCTTGGACGCTCATTACATGAACAGTTGCCATCATTACCAGCTCTGAGCCTGCACCAGATCCCCTCCCCTCTACCCCCCTGTTTCCAGCTGTGAGAAGGCCCAGTTCTGTCTCTCCCTTCCAAAGAGAAAACACAGTCTGAAGTGTAAACCTGTAGCTCCACCGGAGACGACTGGGCTTCTCAGTGACTGCAGTGTAATAGAAACACAGAATACCCCTAGAAATCTAAAAAAAGAAGGAAAAAAAAAAAAGAAATCAGGTTGGGCGAAAATGTCTGTTTGAAATAAAGCAAGGCAATACTGCTGTATCCACATAGCATGAGATTAGTCGCTGCACCAATTTACTCTCCCCGACAACCACGTAGAACAAAATTTACAGGGCTCGTAGGCACATGTAACTGCTTGAATTCAGAGATGGCTGACAAATTCCTATACTCATTGAATGTACTGTATTACTGTTTTTAAAGATAGGATGAGCTAATCTAGTCACCTTTTGTTATTGGTCCTTGTTTAATTTGTCTAAGGTATTTTTTGTATACAAAAGTTTACATTTTTATGTATATTTTTCTTGTGTACAAATTATGTAATATGTGTACAAACACTGTATGTAATATCTGTATATAGTGTGAGAAATTTGATCTTTTGTTTTTGGATGTATAAATAAAACTTGCTGTGAGGTATTTGCTGACACAGTTTCATGTGGTTTCTAATCAGGCGAACACAACGAATGTGGTGACGTGCACTCTGCAGACCAGGGGCTTCCACTGCAGAAGGTTTTATATGAAACTGAACGACTGATTGTCGAAGATTAGATACAGTCGTCCTCAAATGTATTCATACCCTTCAATTTAAGAAAAGGCAAATTCACAATAGTCACTCAAATAACCATCCATCCATCCATCCATCCATCCATTATCTATACACCACATAATCCTCACTAGGGTCACGGGGAGCTGGAGTCTATCCCAGCTGACTCAGGGTGAAGACAGGGGACACCCTGGACAGGTCACCAGTCTATCACAGGGCTACACTTAGAGACAGACAACCAAGCACACTCACATTCACCCCTACGGACAATTTAGAATCACCAATTAACCTCAACATGTTTTTTGGACTGTGTGGGAGGAAGTCAAAGAACCCGGAGAGAACCCACGCTGCACGCAGAGAACATGCAAACTCCACGTAGAAAGATCCCAGGTGTCCTCACTGGGACGCCAACCGGCGACCTTCTTGCAATGGTGCTAACCACCAAGCCACCTTGGGGCCCGTGCTAAATTATAATTTAGTGAAATAAGACGTTGCTTTGAATTGTGGTTGAAAAGAACAAAACAACAAAACTGTCCCAGACAAATTAGAGCACTTTACTGATGAGCAGTGGGCCAAAATCAAAATAGCTGTCAACAGGTGCAGAAGTCTGACTGAGAGTTACAGAAAACACTTGACTGCAGTGACTGGCTCAACAAAATATTAGTTTATGGGTCACATCATGCTTTTTTTTTTTTTTTTTAAATATATATTTCTGTTGAACCACAATTCAAAAGCAATGTCATGATTTTCATTAAATTTTTTATTTATCATTACTTTTGTAAATGTCAACTTATTTCAGTGACAGCAGCTTTTTTTCCTTCTTTAATGGGAGGCTATGAATACATCTGAGGACGACTGTAGCTGAAACATTTCACTTTAAATTGTATCTCTGTGGTTTGGGTTCCTCTCTTTAAACTTCCTATCAAGTCGTGCAGTATTTTTAGGCTCAAACAATCTCACCACTCAGTGCCACTGGTATTTCTTTGTCACCAACTTCATCAAAACACCAAATGAGTGAATAGCTTTTGGAAAAAATGATGCCTCCATCCCTCCAGTGGAGCTTGAGCCTCAATGCTAAGGTGGACTGAAGCTGTTCTGGCAGCATGTGGTGGCCCAACATGCTACTTAAAACCATTATATGTTGTCTGTTAATATAACTTAATGTGTTTTTTAAATACAGTACCAGCAAGAAGGGTGACATTTCCAACTGCAATCAGAATCACAAGAAATATTAAAAAGCAGTCACAGACAATCACATTACGGGAAAAAAAACTGTTCAAATTTGCACTGAATGTTTTTTTTATTTTTCCTTAATCATTTGATAACTTCCAATAAACCCAACAGCACTGTCCTGAATTAGCAAACATGTATACCGGACTACAAACTGTCAGCAAAGTCACACAAAATGAAATGTACATTTTAAATGATTGCTATCCAGTGTTAACTGAAACTCGGAGCACATCACAGAACCAAACTTTACTCCCTCTATTACATAACGCTGCTCTTTGGGGGTTACAAAAATAGTTTTATAGAATATATGCCTACTTGTGCTAAGAAATGACTCCTGGCGATCACACTGCTTTATTGCCATACAACACACACAAAAAAAAAAAGGGGGAGGGAGGAGGGAGGAGGAGGAAAGGAAAAAATGGTGTAACTGCAACATTACATCGTAGCCTTAAGTACCATTTAAAAAAAAATCTACAAAGTGCAACACATACATAGATAAAGAGTCATATGAGACCATGTAAAAGGTGCAAATTGTCTCAGGTGGGGGTGGAGGGCTTACGTGGCACGTTTCACATGAGAAGTCTGAAGTTTTTCACAGAACAGCAGGAAAAATAAAACACTGATGTTGCATCGCGTGACGAGTCGGCTGTCATTTCTTGATTTGGTTATCAGGTGTCAACTTATTTATGTCATCATTACTCATGTATCTGTGTAATCTACTGTGGCTACAGTAGCAAGCAGAAAAAGAATGTTTTTTGGGGAGAAATAGGCAGGAAATTAACAAGAGAGTAGTTTGGTGTTTTTAAAAAATTCTTGTCTGAAAGTCACAGCCAGCAGATGGATGGATTCATTTCGCACAAAGTGGGGAAAACAGCTAAACTGCCAGCCTGACTCTGTCCAAAAGTAATAAAATCCACCTGCCAGCCAGTACAGTTGAGCACATTGTGGCGGGTTATATTCTGTAACAAGAACATCTATGTGAAATTATAGCTGGAATGCATATTCTGCTCACCGAACACAGCGTAACACCTGCCTACGGACGCACGATGATTCTGCATCATCACTGGTATCAGTCAATACAGGCTTCAAAATGAAATGGAAAAACAAAACACCTGTCAGGTTCATTGTTTACAGCTGTGTTTGGAAATGTTCCATAAAAAGAAATGTCTGTCTTACATGTAAGCTGAAGTCTTACTTTGCAAGGGAATGTGTACATTTAAAAAGCATTGTCCATTGTTTTTTGGATCTACCTGCCAGTAGGCCATGAAGACAGCATTAAGTATAATGTGTTAATTCCACTGCAGAAGAGACCTGATATTCTCTACAATCAGGTGGGAAGTATGTACATATACTGGTACTGGCAATCAGTCAAAATCAGTTCAGCAAAAAATCCAACACTGCATGTTTTGCAAGCGACTATTACAGCGAAAAACTCCAGGAAGTTACTGCTCCTAGCCCAAAGAAGTGCTCCAAGACATGGGTTCAACTCCTCAGGAAATTGCAGATTTATTGTTTTGACACCCCGGATTAAATAAATGATATGCGATGCTGACTAGATGAGCTTCGGAGGTGATGGCGGGAGGATGGTTCATCCTGTTTCCAGTATATACGCAATGCAAACAGTTAGCCAAACAGCTGCTGACTTGTATCTAACACTGTGTGAGCGGTCACTCTATTAGGTGCAATCTAATGTAATCCAATACAGCAGACTTGCTTTAACATCTGTCTTTACAATACTTACATTGTTATGAACAAATTTACTTGGAATCTTTGTTATGATTATTGGTATAATTTACTATTTTGACTTTAGGAGAGAAAATGAAACAAGAGGAAAGAGACATGCCATGCAATGAATGACATGCCCTCTCCATTTAGGGTGCTCCAATTATATTTTTATTTCTGAGATCATAGTTAAGATGATGTCGTTCTGAACTGCACTATACTGGTTTTATTTTTTGTTATCTGCTTACACAGAATTAGTGCAGTTCAGAGCAACACCATCACCAACCGGGACATCAGTGTCAAAACCTGCTACTAATTTCTTTACAATATACAACATTTGTATTCGATTGCATTAGACTGTACACGTCTATCTAATAAAGCGTATACTTGAATGGTAGAAATCTTCTCTTCCCCACCACCACAGACTAAAGAATGTTGAACTGTTCCTTTAAACCCGTCCTGGGAACTGTGTACCATGTATTGCCCCCTGGCAAAAGGAAAAAAAAAGAAGAAATTTCATGAAAACTTCTCTTTTTTTAACTGCAATGATGACAGTTTTTAAATAACAACAGCAGAAAGAGCCCATTTGTTCACCTTGTTCTGGCAAGAAATCAGAGAAATTGTCATTTAAAGTATCGCAGCCTATGCATTTTAATGCCAGGGAGGACAAAAAAAAAAAGAAAGAAAGAGGAGAAATCACAACAAAAACATTTGATCTAATGTTTTTAAAGCTGATACTATTCATCCCATTCATCACAAATACTATAAGGCTGATTCAACTCTGCTCAGGACTCAACATTCCTTCAGTCCCGTAGCAGTATGCTACAACGCATACTGCTCAGACCAACCAATAGGCTTTATACTGTTAATACTATCATGCACATTCCTTTTACACTACAGCCAGAAGCGGTAGCAGTGCCACTGGTCGCCAACACCTCCTGGCTTTATGCTAATAATGTCTGTCTGAAAGCAGTGTGGTCTACTGTGTGAAAAGTCCATTTCCTGCAAAACTTCTCACGAGTCCGAATGGATAGATGCAGCCAGGCAAATATTACACTGCACGACCGACTCCAGAGTCCAAGCTGTGAGACTTCAGGCGGACTTTTGTGTGTCCCGGATAGTATGGCGCATACCTGCAAAATACTCTAAGTCTCATGCTACTGTTTTATGGCTACTTTGTTTATAGTCAAAGGCATTTATACTTGAAGTGCAATTAAAGCTGTAGGTACATTGAGGAGATCGTACCACTGCAGCTCCTAGGAAGACTAACAGAGTCTGCGGATTTATAAACTAGATGATGGCACTGCCCTGTTAATGGAATGAATGGACGAAACCTCAGTTTATCTGATCAATCAAACGCACAGCAAAAAATAAAAAAATAAAAAAAAAAAGAAAGAGGGGGAATGAGGCAGAGTCCAACAAACCAACACAACTCGAGGCCTTGTGTAATCAGGGCTGGAAACAGAGCATCCAGTGTGTAAAACTGGTGGGGCTTCAAATAAACCAGCTGTTATTATTTTTTGTTCTCTTTTTTACATTCTCCAACAATATTACAGCCACAGCAAAGAGTGTGAAACCAAAAAAGTTAAAGAGCATTAAGAAATATAATAATAAATCAATAGTAAAACATGATAGAGGGCAGCCATTTTCATTCACTGGATGAGTACTTAAAATGTGTACAACTAAAAGAAGAGAAATCAAAGACCAATATACAAAAGAACAAAGTACAAAGGCAAGGCAATCTCATTTGTGGCCCCTTTAGTCTTTCAAAATATTTACCTCACAACCATATCTACAGTTTGCATTTGGCCATTTGAACACAGTGGTTCCAAACGCTCCAATATTTTTATCACGAATCTGTAGAAATTAGCTTATTTACAAGTCTGTACAACCACCCTAAAGAGCTCTCTCCATCTCCCAGAGGACCCAATCCACTTAAAGCAGAATACCTGAGTTTTCAATAGAATGCTTCGACCCACTTGTCACTCTTCACTGCACGTCTCACAGAATATCTCGCACAGCCACACACACACATGCACACAGTTAATTAAGCAAGGTATTTTCTCCAAAAAAAAAAGAAAAAAAAGATGCTGAGTGTAAACCTTTTTGAAAGAGCCACAAACTCACCAAAATCAAAAAACTCAAGAGTCCTTCCAATAAGATAGCTAACTCCACTCTTAAAATAAACAGTTGAGAAGGAGGTATCGAGAAGGGACATCATACAGCAAGTGGCAGCTGACTGAATGGCCACTGACTGTCCTGAATAGGACCCTCTGGTGCTGTGCTAGCGTATAAACAGACATTAAGTAGGCCAGGATTTGCTTCAGGCAAATGAGTGATGGAGACCTTCCTGGGAGACTTCATCCTGGCTGTGGAGGTCAGAGGAAAAGATCTGACTGCTGCCACCAGGGTGGAAAAGTAGAGCAGAGCTGGACGAAGCTCCTCTTACTGAGCGGCGGCTGCCTGTGGCACAGAAAACCTGGGAAACGACAGAGGAAAAGGGTAATATTTACATGCCTAATGTTAAGACAAAGCTAAACCTCTGTAGTCGGAAATGAAAACGTGATGGCAACTTCACCATTTGTACATCTTTGCTGTAACTGGGGAAGGACAGCCTGAAGTAGCACCAGGGTTCAGCCCATGTTGGTACTTAAACAATGCGCTGACATGTTACAGTTAAGACCCTACTGTTCACCGTGTTATGGTGATGAACTGAAGCACTGGACAAGTGTTTGTCTTGATAGTGATACGACATGAAAAGTCATGGGATCACCAAAGATTTTGCAATTTCTCTTGTGCCCGTTACCTCTAAGTTCACCGTATTTTCAGTTATCCTAGAGGCACGGCTCTAGGATGCCAGTTCACCACTTGACTGAACAGACACAGCTACTGGATAGAAACTTTTTTCATGGTTCCTTGATGATGATGAGTAAAACTGACTCTGGTGACCCCTTGACTCAGCCACCACCATGAGGCTGACCAGTGGGGGCCTGGACAAAAATATTGTACTGTGGACTAAAGAATTTGACTGTTGTACAAATAATCGGTTGATCAGATACAAATCTAGGTCCCATCAAATGGGAACACGTGTCCTGGAAAACTGCCCATAAAACAGTGATTCTGTAGTAATGACTTCATGCTGCACTCGTGAATGTGACCATACTAATAAATACATCAGAATAGGTTGTAAAATCCTACATTTTCCTGCTTTTCTCTTCATAATTGACAGCCCCTATGTTTACATTCAAAGCACTCCCTTCTGCAGAGGGGTCAATTTAAACCCATTTCAATGAGAAGTACATTTAAGAAGTAATTACGCAAATTCATGGAACTTCAACATGGAAAAAACTTCAAACATAGCAGGAAGTGATAACATAACTTCACCTACTTCTGAAGTCTCTGCACTAGTTCAGCCACCAGGGAGTCACAGATCCCCGGGTGTGTTTCTTCTGCCAGAACAAGGGCCTCCCGCAGCTCCTCTGCAGCTTCTGGCTTGCCATTACTTGTCTCACCCTTTTCTTTCAACTGCAACAATGACAGCTTTTAGACAACACATTGTGATCTGTGTAATTCTGGGCGACCAGTTTAGTACTACTTTACTCTTACTACAATAGTACTGTTTTAATTTGGAATACGTAAGTGATGCTATTACCTCAGAAAACAACGGACGAAAGATTTCTGATAAGCTTTGTGACAAAGGCCTCTTTGGACTCTCATCCACCTGGAAACAAAGAAGATTGTAAGGTGGGAGCATGAACACATACATGTCTTTTACCAGTATGAGGTAATCTCACGTTTCTCCTCTCCGATGATAAATGGTGTTACCTGCTTCTTTTCTAACGCAGCCGGCTGTGCTCCACCATTCTGAACCATTTCCAGGCCCTTGACGGTGAAGTTCCATTTATTGCTGTTACCGTTACCTCCAGATGCCTGGCCGTCCGGCTCCCTTTAGTGAAATAGGATGTTGTTACCATCAGCATTGTACTCAGAGTTGCTAGACCACCACTGAACTCTGATGATGACGGTGGAGACAACTTACTCATCGGATCCTTCGGGGCTCGATTCATCCCGAGACTGCTCTGATTTCCACCTCTTGTATCTGTCAATCAGCTCTGTCAGATAGGTTGTCTTTTTGGCATGCCTTACAATGTACCTATGTTTTAACAACTCTTTGGCAGTTGGCCTCTATAGAAAACACACAAAGCAAATTCAACAGTAAAATTAAAGGAGTAGTGTTCCTTTTCATGTACACAGCAGTTGAATTGATCGTAACGGTGTGAACAAGATTCATTTAAACTTACAAAGCTTGGCTCCTTATTTAAACAGGCTTCAACAAACTCTTTAAGTTGTTTACTGTAGTTTCCTTCCAGAGTTGGTGGATTGTTCTTTGGGATGAGGAATAAGACCTTCATAGGATGAAGGTCAGAGTGGGGTGGCTCTCCTTTAGCCAGTTCTATTGCTGTTATTCCTAATGACCAGATGTCAGCCTACAAAACAAAGACATTTGAGACAAAAGATCCTCTCAGTAAAACCGCAGAATCTCACACGCTTCTTCACAAAGACATTCTGACACAGTGCTGCGCAAAATGACATTTAAACTGGCTGACTTAAGCAGCATGGGTGTATTTGAGGAAGCTCGGCAAATAGAAGACGGGTGACATAGAGGTTGTGTTGACGAGCCACACTGACTCATGTTGTGGTTATTCCAAAAATATGGTCATTTCTGTCTGACTAGAAAACCAAGTGCTTCAAAGTTCCCGACAAAAAAAGCCCACAAAGGTCAGTAGTGAAGTACTCAAAGGATCAATTGGGAGCAATTTCACACAGAACCTTTGCTTCATCAATTCTTGTTATAACACATTAGATCAAAACCTACAGAGCACACAGCAGTTTGTTGGTTTTAAAGTGACTATCTCAAAGATGTCAGTTTCATTCTCTCTGGAGGCACCTATAGTGATAAGCAGTAATTGCAAGTCACTTCCAAGAGTTTCAAGAGTGTTGCCAGTGTCACATCATCAGTAAGTTAGCATCTTAACAAGCTGTTCCCCAACAATGTCCAATAGCAAGTCGAGGCCACCACACATGAAAATGAAAAGAGAAAAAAACAGCAAAGCAAAGAACAACACGCCGCTTCACATACACACACTGGTTGAAGAGTAGTTATCTATGTGGATAACTGCTTTTATCTTTCTGCTACAAGTTATTTTTCCAGCAGAAAGATAACTGCTGAGTCATAAAACACGCATCACTAACACGTGGCTTATGATTTTGTGCAAAAATGTCACCACACCCACAAAGTAATGCTGTAAAAAGCATTCATATATATTTATATAATTGTAATACACAGTAACTGAACAATTATTTGCAGTAAATAAAAATTTTCAAGATTGCCACTTTAATAGTCTTAAGTCAGTAATACTTGTTGAACACATGACACAGGCCTAATGACACACAACCTCCACTTAGCTGTTCATTCTTTCAGCAAGCTTTATGTTGCTTTAGTCTGTTAACACATTTGAAATTTATGGTAATAACTAATTAATTCAAGCTTTTTATACAAGAACTACACATCTGTTTGGATTCTGTGGCAAAACACACAGTTGCATTTCAAGACAAACACGACCAAGACAAAACGGGATAATGCTGACCTTTGAATCGTAGGCAGACTGCTTTATGACTTCAGGTGCCATCCAGAAAGGCGTTCCAACAAATGTGTTCCTTTTTATCTGAGTGTCTGTCAACTGGCCCGCTACTCCGAAGTCTGCAAGCTTCACGTCGCCTTGTTCTGACAGCAAAACGTTAGCAGCTGGAAACAGCAGTGAGAAAATGCAATGAGATCCATCATATGCCACCTTTGACAATTATTTAACAGGAACAGATCAAGTTTTCTCGCACTCATCTGAGTGATATGATTGGTATATTTGTTCCCTACATATGACCTTATTTGTGAAATTAAATCTCTCTGTTGGAGCAACCTCATTGTTTGATCTTGTAAAGCACTGATCAGCTTTCTAAAGGCGTTTCAAGTGTTTTCATTTGCAACACAGGGACCCAGGAAAGAAAAAGTCATCGTACAGGAAGTGGGAAACATTATGGAAGAAACAGCCGTGGACATTTCCTGTTGGCACTGCCACCTGCTTTAGTAGCACAAATGCAAAGTGAAATGATCTCCTTAACAACCTGTCACTATTTTAACACATCAGTTATTTATGACACAGTAGATGACAGACATCAGAGAGACGAACAGGATTTGTATTCAAGTGTGAAATGCAGACAAATCAAAGTGATCTGACTTGTGTTTGGATTTGATTACAGACTCGGCACTGAAGATAAATGATAATTACAGACGCTTGGTGGTAAACACGGACGCTAAGGCACATCAAAGCCTCACCTCAGCATCATTAACAAGACGATAGAGAACATGTTGTCCAGATTACATCATTTGCCACTAAAACCAAGGTGATGGTATGCTCCAAACGCACCTTTGATATCTCTGTGTATCTTCTTTTCAGAGTGCAGATACTCGAGCCCTTTCAAGATTTCCCTCAGGATTGTGGCAATCTGTGTTTCATCCAGGGCACCTGGTTCCAGCTAGAAGAACGGACAAAATCTAGACTTTAAGCTTCAGGATTTTTACATTGTTTCGTTAGATTATACACAGTCACAATAGAATAAAAAAACAGAAATAGTTTAAAGGTAAAATCATTGACTTACCAAATCAAGCGCTGATCCTCCACCCAAATATTCCATTATAATCCATAATTTTGTACCCTGAAAATGAGATCAGCGTTTCAGTCAGAACAGGGTAGTGCTCACTTAGTCAGCTTTCTGCATCAGAAAATAAACAACTGTACTCGTGCTTTGTGGAGATGCTGTTTTGTTGTTGTTTTTTATTGACATACACTCCTCCTATGATATACACAGATGAGCCAAAGCATTATGACTACTGTCTAATGTGCTGCTGCTCTTTCATAAGACACAGCGGTTCAGACTTGTTCTTGCACATTCTCCCCAACACCCTGTTGACGGTTCATGGTTTGTCCCTCCTTGCATCACTGTCAGTATGTACTCACTGCTGCTGACTGGCAGCACCCTGTAAGCCTCATGATTCTGCAGTTTTCAGAGTCATTCAGGTCTTTACACGTGCTAATTTTTCTTGCATCCCCACAGACTACAACAACCGACTGCTTACTTATCCTCTAATATATCCCAGAGCTGGTGCAATTGTTGCAAGATACTCACAGTTTTTGTGAGTGGTCATTATATTTTGGTGCATTGGTGTATGAGTTTTCTTTTATATCATGTTGTAACAGGTTTCTTTGCTGTTTTCTAGCAGCTGAAGACTACTGATTATCAAACACAAAACACAGTTACACTTATATTTAACAAATTAGAACAAATTCACTGAAATTCAAGATAATGTGGATTCAGTTTAGTGAATCACAAGATGTAAAAATGTGGATAATTGGAATAAAATCTAATAACAATATACACTGTCTCTTCATAAACAGCTTAAGAAGAGCAGATGCCACACCAAGAAATAAACATCAACAGTTCTTGAAAAAAACAATTCATTATACACATCTCACAATACAAACAGATTCATTTCCTTGGCATGCAGATTGTGTAACATACATACACAGCCTTGGCATGTCCATGCTACAACAGACTGACTTTGGACAGACAAATCTGGTATTTGTCTGAAAACACCAAAATACACTCCAGCTGTTTGCCAGTTGTGCTAAAAAAGCCTTTAAAGTAACTGTGTTAATTTTCTAAGATACATTAAATGCTTTCTGTGTAAGTAGTTCACTCAGACACAGATCCCTGGAAGAGTCACTTGAGCTTGTGTGTTTATATTTACAAGAGTATGCAATCGACTTAGGATGTCAAACTTCAGAAGACTTTCATACAGACTCTGCTCCTGCTACCGCCACAGACAGAAAACCACACCCAAAAACACAACCAGCCACACACAGCTGGACTGAGCTCTTTCAAACTTCTATTTAAGTAACAGTAAGACTAATGCAAGCACTTTTTCCAACTTCTCCTTATTCTCACTTTTTTTATTTTTTGCATAGTCTTGCACTAAGAGTCACAAAACAAAAAACAGTTTACATTTAGGAAATATCGAAGTTCTACAAACTGGGCTTGCTTGAGTTTCTTTAAGACAATTTGGGGGGGAAAAAAATCACAAATTTGCTATGAGTGCTTTTTGTCTGTAACTGTAAACCTTTTGATGCAAATTGCACCAATAAGGCACTACAGGTTTAAAGTTCAAAGGCACATCATTTGCTCCAGTGAGTTATGCGTCACAGTCACCGCTTCAACTGCTGACTGCGGTGCAAAGCTAGAAAAGTCTGCAGAACAGCTAGACGCAACTTCCATTTTTTTCTTTTTTTAAAAAAAGAAAAAAAAAAACGGCATGAAACTGCCCCTTTCAGCCTTCACCTCTCTTCCGCCTCACCCACCACATACAAATCCTCATACCTCATAGATTTGGAACCTCTGCCCTAAAACAACCACAGCTGCTGATAGCAGATAAATCCAAACTCTATTATCACCATAGCCTATCTATTTAAGATTTTAGAGGTTCTTCGTAACATACATTGTAGGGAGGTCATGTCTGCTTTTAAGTGCTGCAGTAAATGCTGTGAAAGGCTCTCTGGGCATCATCACGAGTAGAAAATCTATTATACTTATAAAATGCAGTCTGGTTTGCACCCAAGTGATTCTGTCAATACAGCTATTACATGTTTTTATTGTCCCAGGCTGGCATGGATTATACAATTGTTTTGGGTCTGTATTCTAGCATGAATCCAAAATAAAACAGTGAAAGTGATGTTCAAGAGCTGACTTTCAGGTTTAAGAGTAGAGAGTAAACCCTATTACCGATGCTAAAAAAAAAAAAAAAAATCAGCACGATGGGCTTATAATCATGTTTTATTTCAAGTCCATTCTGCTGCAGTGCAGACCAAAAGAGCACAACACATGCCTCTGTCCAAGAACAATTTCTACTGTTAACAGCCCACATGGTATACACGACTGCAATGCAAGCCTATGTCTACTTGTTCTACACCAATTTGTGCCATAGTACCCCGGCAATATTTGTTCCATTGCCCATTTGCATTATTTATTGACCTACATTGCCCACACTTGCTAGCAGGAACACACTACTAAGATTTCCATTAAGGCAAACACTGACTTTTACAAGCTCACTACATGAAACTCGCTGAAGCGGATGCTTACCTTGAGATAGGATCCAAAATACTTGGTGATAAAGGGACTGTCACACTGGCTGAGAACCGTGATCTCCTGTTGAATGTCCTCTATATCATCCTCCGCCTCCTCCAGATCAATAATTTTAATGGCCACAACTTTCTGAGTCCGATTGTCGATGCCTTTAAAGACTTCACCGAAAGAGCCCTTCCCTATTCTCTCCAGCTTGGTGAAGAACTCCTCGGGATCGGCTTGGAAATTCTGAGTGACAGACAGAAAGATGTCGAGAGAGTAAACAGGGAGCACTTTAAGTAACATAAAACCGCAGGAAATTGACAAGCATATGTCTGATGCACAACTATACATCAAAAATAAAAAGCCTGTTTAAAGTGAAAGCACAGGAAGGAAAACTGCAGATACTCAAACACAGTAAAATGAATTAGAACACTGAAGTTATGTTATTAAACAGAAGGAAGGACTTTAAATCTTGATCATATTTTAGTCCAGTACTTCTGATGGTGCCTTACTAAAAGTTGATTTCAGCAATATTATCATTATATATCGTCATGAATATATAACATAAATTAACAATCTTGACACATTTCACTTGTGGTCGATTTTTTCTTTTTTAAAATGTAGTCAAAGAAACTTATTGAGCGGGACATTTTGAAGTTGAAAAATCCACTTTTCTCTTCATTACCTTCGACGTAGCTTGTCACTGTGTACTGAAAATGTCTTGTTATTTATTTGTCGCCATATACAGTTATGTTTGTAATAAATTAATCTGTTGCTTTACCAGTATAGATCTATTTAATATGCAACACAGCGTCTTTATCTATTACCTATATTCAAACTGTGCTCACAAAAATGACATTACTTAGTAAGATCAATTCCATTTCATCCTTGATAATTTTGCAATGGAATAAATAAAGGGGTACACATCCAGAAATGTTGGAGTCATAAGAGGCTGATTTGAAAAAAACAACAAACAAAAACAAAAACAAACTGCATGGTCACAATTCAAGCACAAGAGACAGACAAATCCTGACTTTTAGTCTCATGTGTGGAATAAGCTAAAAATAAATAAACACAACTCCACATCCTTCGCTTTCCACAAAGCATGTTGCTTTGTTCCTTTTTCATCAGTTCCTCTCTGCTTAGCTTGTCCTTCAAACTCTACACCATCAGTTGGAGACTTTTAGATATCTATTGGCTGAGATGAGAAAATTCCTGGTGCCACCTGGATGACAGATGGTTGAGTTTTAAGTGTGGGATGAATTAAACTAGATATAGTAAAACAAATATTCATGCATAGTTATCAAGAATAGCTTGGCTTCTTAGATTAGATTTCAATTTATGACAGTAATCCAATGAATAACTTTATCAAATTTTATCAGCTGATGACAAGCAAATGGCCCTCTACAATTCTGTGGCTTTGAGTAACACTTACATCGTAAGACAGCAAAACGCAGACCTGACTGAGGCTTAATGACCTCCACCACAAAGGCTAAACAGAACTGAAGGGCAACACCCTAAATTATTGACTGAGCTTAATGGCTTATTTCCCCATGGAGCGCCAGGGCGGGAATAATGGTCTTCAAGTTGGCCAGTTCACTTTCCCTTCATCTACGGCAAACATTAACCCAAACTGCTAGAGAAGTGCCTTAATTGCCATGACAAAAATAGTGCAAAATATTGAGGGGGGGAAAAGATTTTCCAATGAAGTATAACTGTAAGGTAAAATGTATCATTTAAATTAAGCAAATTATATAAAAAAAACAAAAAAAACTCAAGCAAGTAAACCTGATGCTTAATTTACCAGGTAACCTGGCCCTACGATGATGATCTATTGGCTCACATAGTATATTGCTTTACAGTCTCCCTAGAGAACGGTTTCCTGTAAAACTGCTAATGCACGGTGGTCAAACCTATATGGAGGGGGATATGAGCAGCTGCACTTTGAAAAACTGGCAAAGAGGGGGCTGCTGAATTTGATAGCAAAGGGACTTTACAACAAAGACAAAAAGACAGAGCAGTGCAGAACAAAGCAGAGTAGAAACAACACAACCAAAATACTATCATAACATTGGTGTGGTCAGTCATCCAGGTGAAAATTATAATGTTGAGGCTGACCTCTGTAAAAACAATGGGAAAAACAACAAGAGCACTGTGACCACCGACTACAAATGATGGGAATGTACTTGCCATATCCACAGTCAGCAGGTTTACTGGGACAACTAAAGCTGCCTGAACCTCGCTCTAAAAGCATGTGTTTGATGCTCTCCCATCTGCACTCCACAACCGTGTAGTCCAGTGTCATCATCCACACACCACAACACCACACCCTCACTGCCAGCCCTCCAGCTGCAAGTTCCCCTCTGCATGGTAACCTGCGAGCACAGATGTGCTGTTATTCCTGTAAACCTGGATTTGTCAGCGCACATGCTAAAAATTTAATCATAAGTCAGGAGAAGGGGGAGTATTTTTCGTAAACTGCAGGAAAGCATGCATCTCTTGGCTATGTAACCTCAGGGGGTTGTCATGTTTACATGCACTGTAGTTTGGCCTACTTTATGCCAATTCTTAAACCAGGATGTGCACCCATAGCCATTTAGCAGTTATCAAAAATAACTACAGAGAAACAGATTTTTTTGGTTTTAATTATTTCAGGACAAAAGTCAACAATTACCTGGTTTCCACTCCTTAAATATAAAACGGATTACATTTGTCAGTTTTATTGAATTCTAAATAAAATATCTTTGGGTTTTGGGATGTTGGGATAAAATTTGCCTGTGCTTTGAGAAATTGTGATGTTTTTTTTTCAGTTTTCTGACATTTAATTGACCTGTAGAGTTACTCAATTAACTAATAATGAAAATAGCACTACTTCATTGTACTAAACATATGATACGTTTAAGGAGAGAACAATGACCGGAGGATAAATAAATGAAATCAAGAGGTCACCAAAAACCAATATGTGTGATACGTTGTTTGCTCTAAAACATCACTATTGACAAACTTTTATCACCAACTTGACAGCAGTAAATACACAGAGAAGGTATTGCACTTAGAGCATCAGTTCAGGTCTCATAAATTGAAACAATCTGTCAATTGATCAGCAAGCAAAACGGCAAATTGTAATTTTTCAAGCCTCACACCACAACATGATGTTTCTTATGTTTACTATGTAATCAGGGATGACAATCAGGATGATTATAGACGATACTATGGTGTTGTTTCCGCTAGTCAGGGTGTATGTGTTTGGTATGTGTAATATCATTGTTGCAACTGTAATTAGCATAATTTATTGATGAGTTTTATATATGCAATGAAGAAATGGTCTCTTCTACAAGTATTCTATGGACTAGAACTTGCAAAATATAACCCCCATGAATGAAATCAAGTCATTCTGATGCATTTATAACGTTGCAGTCACAATGTAGGGGCTGTAATCACTTTTTGGTAGGTGAAAAAAAACAATATTTGAGTTGAATTAGTCCTTTAAAGCTCTTGTTACCGGTAAAAAACGCTTGGATTGGGTATAATTTAGAGCATAGGGCAGGTAAAATAACGCAGAGACATGAGGATGACTGTTCCTGCAGATGATCACACTGTGGCACGACTCAGCATCACAAAAACATAAACGAGGATGACAGCCATCTTATCGGTTACTCATTTTACTGGACTTTGACATGCAGGCGCATTTATGAGTGACAAAAACAGATAACGGCGTGAAAGAAAACGTGACACTGATGGACCGTTTCTGTAGATAAAGTTTCCAGACATCCAGTAAACTTCCGACTTAAGTATGAGATGAAACATGGAGTAGAAATATCCAGCGGCTTTAAAGCTAATGACCTTGTAGTTAGCCAATAATACAATATATTTAATTTACCTGAATCCCCGGCAGTCCACTCTGAATAGGGGAGTGAGCCATGGCGTCAGATCAGCGAAGATGACGCCTTTCCTCGTCTTTTCAGCTTTCCTTATCAGATGTTAAACGCTTCTTTCCAGACGGACCGCTGCTTTGGATAATGGTGCAACAAACTCTGTAAGGCTCTTTCAACGGGAGACGTCGCGTAACTAAAACAAAAAAACAAAAACAAAAAAAAAAACGGCTCGACTTGTCGGCTTCTACTTGGAGCCGCCTGCCTGCCTTCTCCTCACTCGCCTTCCGCAGTTAACGCTAGCTACCGTTAGCCACTTTAGCGGCTAGTTAGCAAACAGTTAGCTGAGTAATTGTATCCCTGCGGACCGAGGCGGTCTCGCAATACGTGCTTGACAGCTTCCTGGCGTTAAGACCGATGTCTGGCATTAAACAGCAGCACGGGGTAAAAAAATGCACACTGTTGTGTAGTTGTGTCGCTTGTTGTTCTATTCTCTCATCACTTTTCTCTCTCGCCCGGCGCCATCTTGGTTAATGTCATTCTCGTTCACCTGAGGACCAATCAGAGTGAGGAGGAGTAGACCGCGCGCGCGTGTCGTCATTCGTAAACCACAAACGTCAGCAGAGAGAGGAAGTTCATATATTTGTGGTTTTATGCATCCAGGTGTGCAAGTAACTAAGTACATTTACTCAAGTATGCAAAGTTTTAAGGTACTTTGCTGCAGTACTACCATTTTATGCCACTTAAAGGTCCCATATTGTGCAGCAAATTAGCTAAAATCTCATATGTTGCTACAATGCAGTTGCGGCTCGAGACAAATTTTACTCGGGGGCCAAGGTGGGGCCAGTGTTTAACCACAGGGGCACAATAAAAAACGACAACAATGACATTTAAACACTAAAACTTTTACTTACTTTATATTAAAATGAAACAAGTTTTATTTATTTATTTTTTTAACAGATGCAAATACATCAATGTAAACAATGAGGTCATCAGGGCCAGTGTTGAAATGTGTAACATAAGGAACATTTGAAATCAGTCACAGGTAATATAAGTGGTTTGGTTTCCTGCCATTCAAAATCCACTATCACTACAGCAACAGGATCCAGTGGTTGGGCTCTCTGGCAAACTGGTCCTGGTATATGTTAAGATCCAAAGCCATGGCCCGCCTGGATTTTATACTCAGGACACCAAGATCACTGAGTCGATCATCAGCAATGGTGGACCACAGGAATGTTTTTATCAGTTTCAGAGTGGAGAAACTGCGTCCACAGGAGGTAGAGCTTACTGGAAGAGTGATGGATATCTCGCACAGTCAAAAGAGTTATAAAAAAAAACTTCCCTGCATGGCTCAATGAAACGGATCAGCTCCACCGCACTACATGGCTTTTGTATCTCACCACCCTGGGTTTTTGATCCAAAATTGTCCAACAAAAAAAAAAAAAAAAAAAAACATAAAAAACCTTGGACTTGTGGCTTTTGGGTGTCCAACAAAAAAAAAAAAAAAAAAAACATTGCCAAAATGCTCCTGGCACTGGCCCCTGTGTAGAACACAGCCCCACTCCTCCCCCATCACCCTGAGTGACTGCCCAGTGGACCCTGTGGAGTCCTTCTGCTTCCTGGGCACCATTATCACCCAAGACCTCAAACACGCCTTCAGGACTCTGAGGCGTGCAGGTAAGATTGGGGCCGACCCCTCCCACACTGGACACAAACTATTCCAATCACTCCCCTCTGGCAGGAGGCTTTGGTCCATCAGGACCAGAACCTCCCACCACAAGAACAGTTTCTTTCTATCGGCCACCAGCCTCATGAACAAGGCACAGGAACCCCACTGACCCCTCTATATCTGTATAAATATAAAAATCAATATATCAAATTCCTCATGTTGTGTGAACTATACCTGGCAATGAATCTGTTCTGATTCTGATTCTGATGTGTCCTTCAGTTTTTCAGCTCAAAATAGTGCAACAATTGTGTCATTTCATCAGGACTGGGTTTTAGACCTGTTCTAAATGGGCTGCTTCAGTGTCTGTAGCTTTAAATGTCGCTCAGCTGTCCATGCCACCTTCAGGAAGAAGATTGTCTCTGCATCTATGATTGACAGCGTGGGGGAAAACTAGTTGACACAGTGGCAGCTGACACAGACGTGCATGACTGTGTGAGACCAACCCATTCCATCGCGTCAAACTTTTTCTCTGAGCAATCGCTTCACATGGAAATATTGCCGATTTCAAAGCGTAGTTGTTTTGCAACTTGTGTGGTGAGTTTGTCAGACAACGTTGTGGTTGTGAAATTAGTAGCCTGGAGGTGCAGAGCTGCAGCTTGGAAAATGGCCATAAAGTTACTGCTGGTTAACATGTTGTCTTCGTGGGATGTTTTTCAGTCACTATTTCATTCCATACGTCCTGTTGTCTGACAACACAGAAAAATATGGAGATGCAAACAGCTTTATTGGGAATTTCATGTATTGAAATACAGTGTACAGTACCAACCCAGTCCTTTTTATTGGTTTTTGATTAGTCTTAGAATGTCTTTACCATTTTCTGACTTTGAAGAAAGTTACAAAAAAAAAAATCTCTAAAAAATACTCTCTCTCATAATTCTGGCATTTAGTAAATAGAAATAATTTTGGTAATCCTAAGTGACCTAAAACAGAAAAAGTTTAGTCTGATTTAATGTCAGACAGTGAGAAAAAAAAGGGAAAATGGGTTATGTGTCCTTGTATACAGTGTATGTAAACGTCTGGTTTCAACTGTATGTATAGTTTTGTCCTGGTTTTTGTTGTTGTTTTGTTTTTATTTATAGTCAGCATGTTTATTTTTTTTCTGTGAATTTACTAGATATTATCTATAACTTAACAAAACAAGAAGATCTGTAATCTAAAATTTAAAATGATTGATGAAAAAAATCTATTGTTTTTCTTATAAATGACAGCAAATATCTTTTTTTTTTAAAACTGATTTAAGTGTAACACAAAAACAATGTAATTTTCAGCTAGCTTCTGTGTTAAAATGCTGCTCACACTTAATATAGTAATCTAATAAATTACTTCTTGTACCTTTGATACTTCCATAATTAAGTATTTTTACAGGGTGATGTTAGTAGTTAGTTCCTTAAGTAAATGATCTAAATACTTTGTCATATCTCGTGACAAGAACAGTTAATGAGAAACCAAAGACAGAATTAATTTTTATTGCTCACTTGAACATAACTTAAGCATAAATATAAAAGGGCAATTACATTCAGTGACGTATAAATCTTAGGAAATAACAGCATTTATCTGTTGTTACAACACCAAGTTAAGCTTCTGTCAATGTGTTGTGTGGAATGTACTGTTAAAGGGCTTGCCTATGATAACCATGTTACCATTAAAATATAAAATATTCAACACACACCCATGCACGCACACACACACACAGTCTCACACACACAGTCACACACATACATTCTTCCGTGTACATTTTATGTGCCGATATCAAACTTTCCTACATAAGTGCATTACTATGGAATCTGCTTTTTTCTCTCCTTACTGCTCAAATCTTGGCTCATTTATCATCTCAATCGTCACTATCGACTGAGCCTCTCTTGACCATCTCCATCTCTGCCTTCTGTGGCTTGCTTTTTTGATCATCGTCGTCATCATCTTCATCATCCTTCTTCTTGAACTGGGCCTCGATTTCTGTGGGGTCAATGTAGGTGTAGAAGTATGCCATACCAGAGAAGATAAAGCACACCGCAACCAAGAGAGAGGCGAAGAGGACGTACTCGGTCCACTGTGAAAGACGAGGAGACAGATAGAGACAAACATGGTATTAACATCTCAACATGTTCTGTTTATTTGCTGTCATGGTTCCTACATTATTATTTTTGGGTTTTTTTCATTTATACCTGCTTGGGAAGCTTTGCGAGCTCAGCCACGATCAGGACGATGAAGTTGCCAACAGCGACAGTAAACAACCAGCCTGCCTGCAGCACTGCTTTCATGTTACTAGGCGCCTTGAATACACAAAGGAAGCACACAAAATGAGCAACAATGGAACAATTTAAAGATGTTCAATCTATTCTGCCGTGAACTTTCTTCTTTGATGGTACAGCATTGACGTAAGTTGTGGAGGCTGGTCTCGCAAGCTTACCTGTGAGTAAGAGAACTCCAGACCAGTGACAGAAAACATCACTTCACCAAGAGTTATGAAGAAGTACTGTGGGATCTGGAGGGCCATGCTAGCTGTGTTTGGCTTAATGTCTTGTACGACAGTAATCGACTTCAGACACTGAAATGAATAAATAAAGAAACACAGTTCAGTTGTGGTGAAAGTATGTCCCAACCAGCAAGACTGTTTTTTTTTTTTTTTTACCAGAACATAAAAATGACAACATTTCCATTCTTTGCCAAGCTGTGCATGCATGTGTGAAGTTATTTTATATCAACAACGCATTAAACTGCTTGTATTCATCAGAGCTGCTTCTTGGATCGCAATCTGACGTTGTAACTGAAAAAAACTAAACATCATTCCTCATTCCATATCTGAATACTTCCTGACATTCAGTCTCTCTGTGGCTCGTTAGCACACATACATAAAATGTAAATCTTCAAAAATATGGTAATGGTTTTATTTGTTGTATAGGATTATTGGTTTCCTAAAACAGCTGGGCACTGCAGTTTCAAGCAAACGTTACTCAAACAGAAATAAATATGTCAGGGACTATTTTTATCTGCGGAAGAACACACATTAGGGGATATTTAAGAACCAGAACAGTTTGCACATTTGACTCATTATAATGTTGGAAAAGTAGTGAAGCCTGTGGCATAAAAGAATAAGATATACCAGGTTTGACTATTCAGACAGCAACAGTTCAAAGATCAGATGAAAAATATAAATCATCACCATCTTTGTCCTTTAAACAGTTTTCAGAAATGTTCAGAAAGAAGCAAAAATATTACCGGCTCGTTTTATCTAGTTTTACTTTTCTCACTATTTGTGCAAACACTACATACAGAATGTGACTCATTAGAAACCATGTGTGTAACTTACATCCGAGAACAAATTGTTGCCGATGAAGAAGGTATATGAGCTTCCGAATCCAAACGCCATGCTGAAGCTACATGACTGTGTGTCACTCCACAGAGTGAACGTGTGCCTGGTCATTAGAGAAGAAAATGTCTTTAGGAAGTGCTATTAGACTTTGCAGAAAGTAATTGCTATTGTATGAACACAATGAATTAGTCAAGATGGGGGAAAAATACTTACGTTCCACTTTTGATGAGGGAGTAGTTGGAATAATAAAATGGCTCAGTTAGTCCGAAGTTGACTGAAGGAGTGGTGACGTTCACCATCATGTTCATTCCATTTACAAATCTGAAATAGTTACATATCAGGCAAAACCATTACAGCCAGATCATGTAAATACAGTAAGTAAAGCCAACTATTTAATCTGCATAAAGGTTAGGATTTCAGTTATATGAGTTTCTGTGTCATTAATTGACAACAGACGCAATTGGCAATTATTAAGTTTCTGTTTGGTAAATTAATTTTATAGCTGTTGCAGTTTAAATATTTGTAATTCATCTTACCGGACTGCATTTTTTCCTTCGTCTGGCTTGGAAGTCAAATCATCAGTCTGAGGAAATAAGACAACGTATGTTTATTAATTTAACCATTAGAAGTCCTCCTGCCAGTCTTTAGTTTTTTATACTTCTAACTCACCATCAGCCATTCCTCAACGAGGTCTGAGGGAATAAGGAGTGTTTGTCGTTTTCCCATGGCCAAGGAAACTAGTTTTGTCACTGCAGGGGTGCCGATTGAAACCATGATTTCTTCTGATTCAAACGTGAAGTAATCGAGGCTGGCCTGCAAAACAAACAAGGTGGTGAAGCAGAGAACACATTAGGGTAACAACATGCAGCTGATTTCTCTCTTCATTTAAAACATCCATCCATCCATCCATCCATCCATTATCTATACACCGCTTAATCCTCATTAGGGTCACGGGGGGCTGGAGTCTATCCCAGCTGACTCAGGGTGAAGGCAGGGGACACCTGGACAGGTCACCAGTCTATCACAGGGCTACACTTAGAGACAGACAACCAAGCACACTCACATTCACACCTACGGACAATTTAGAATCACCAATTAACCTCAACATGTTTTTGGACTGTGGGAGGAAGCCGGAGAACCCGGAGAGAACCCACGCTGCACGGGGAGAACATGCAAACTCCCTGCAGAAAGATCCCAGGTGTCCTCACTGGGACGCGAACCGGTGACCTTCTTGCTGCGAGGCAATGGTGCTAACCACTGAGTCACCTTGCAGCCCCATTTAAAACATTACAGGCCTAATTTGCAAAAAGCGAAAAAAAAAAAAAAAATGGTGCTACTAATACATACCATAGTTCCAGGAAGTTCAGTTGTCTCATTGCCAGGCAACTGAACTGTAATTGGATTATTGCCCATGTTGAGTAATTTCAGCTGACTCTGGGCGGCGGATGGAAAGACGGGCAGTGTTTTCTGAAAATAAATTAGAAATGGGCCATTGTTCTGTGTTATTATCCAAAAGAGCATATGGGATTTGCTTTAACCTTAATTGTAAGTTTGAAATAAATGCATCTTTGAACAGTTGTTAGGGTTTGTAAGGTGATAAAAACATTGTTTTATACTTACATCAATTTCAATCTGGACCAAAGCAGCACAGACAAAAGCTATAGAAGCCATAAACATCCCCACTGTCATTCTTTTCAAAGGTCTGTTGAAATGGCATAAAGTTCTGTTACTAATTTATATAAACGTAAAAAAACAAACAAACACAGAATAGCATTTTTAATCACTGTAATAGCAGAATTTTTAACATTAGGCTGAATAGAAATAATTTGTAGAGTTCTGCAGGCTTGAGTTTTTCCTTTGCAGGGTTTTTGATTGTGACAACAACAGAGGCTTTTAAAGCTGAGATGTCTTCAGAAAGCTGATTTATATAACTCTCTAAAGCTACAGTCAGCAGCCAGTTAGCTTAACTTAAGAGTCGAGCTCACCCTTGAGGCCGCGGCCCAAAAAGCATTTTCCTATTAGACTACCATTAGAAAAGAAATGGCTGGAAAAGTTTTTACAGGACACTTGAAACTACAAAAAGGTCATTTATTATTCTTTGCATTACAAACTTCTAAACTGTGGAGGTTTTATATTTGTAAAAACTTTCTCAGGACCGAGAAAAGTGATGTTTATGCGCAGGATGTCATAGAGAAAATACTTTAAATAAAAGCAATACTTGACACTGGAAAACTTGATGGCACTCAGTCATTAAATTATCTGGCACATAACTTCCTGTAAAAGTTCCACAAGTTGTTTTTGCCTTTTTTTTTTCTTGTACAGATTAAACAAAAATCATATTGTGTGTATTTGTCGCCCTAAGATAGAGCCAGGCCAGCTCTTCTTCATTCTTTAACCTGCTGTTGGCTGTTGCTTCATTTTCATGTATGAATTTTCTAAAATGTCAGACTATTCCTTTAAACGTATTTGCAGCAAAACAGAGTTTATCTATAATGTTAAACTTTGAAAGTGAGAAATCAGCACCTTTCAAGGTAATTGTCTCTCAATAACCTTATGATGTTATCCAACAGCTGTACAAAACACTGACAGATGCTATAAATGTCTCACTTACGTAAAGTTCAGGCCGCACTTCTTGATCAGAGGGTATACTAAGCTGTCCATAATAGGCACCAGAGTCAGGATCAGGATGGGGTTGACGGTCTTTCAAAAACACAAATTGCACGGTGAGTATCTTCTCAAATAAAGTGCAATACATCAGTCCAAACTAACATGACAACGTTCCCTTAACTGACCTGCATCTGATCAGGCTGGATAACCAGGGCACCCTGCAGACATAAAGATAATATCACACCATGAACACACGACTTCAACGACTTTAAAATAATGTATATAGTTGGCTTTATCATCGCACTTACAAAATCTCCATCCATCGTGGTGGCTTGCAGAGTCCATCTTGAACCCTTTAATGGAGATTAAAATTTAGTTCCACTGCCTGCAGGTGATGTAGCCTTTTAAAAGACAGACTAATTTTACCTTTTGGTCAAATAGGGTCCAGAACATTGGCAGTGGGATGTATAAGAAGAGGACCTTAAGCACCATTTTGATCTGAGCGATGAGGAGTTTCTACAGGATGGACAGAGTATAAACAAATGTTACTCCACCGAAGAAACATCTTGTCATGAGACTTTAGAGAATCCAATCAAATCAAACTTACATCATATTTTTCCTCTGCCCAGTCCATCCAGTGCGTCCTCTTTGGGTATTGCTTGCTTCTGTGCCTGTAGCGGTTTCGAATTGCAAACTGGTTCCAAAAGGGCAAAATGAAAAAAGAAACATGTTTTTAGAAACCCTTAGTGCCGCTGTTGGTGTCATAGCTGGTACACACACAAAAAAGGCTGATACAAATGACTTACCCAAATACATTTACACACATCCAGCATGATGTTTCCCTGTGGTTCAGCTTTGTAGTACATACCACTTCCAACAATAAACACCACTGTTAGGGAACAACACATGCAAATTAACAAGACACACTTTATGTACCAAACCTTTACATTTCTGCTTCTTGTATGGAAAAGAAATCTCCAAATTGTTTATACGTACAGAGCGCGACCACCATTAGTGCTGCAGGGACACCGAAGGCCAGAGAATAACAGCTCTGCTTGCTATGGATGCCGCACTCCTGAGCTGCAGATGGAGACAAACATCTTCCATTCAGCTACAGTTTCAATCTGACTCGAGGACTGTGAATATTTATTACTGCATGTTTAGGGCACTGAGCGTCATAAACTTTACGTCCTGCTCGTCTCTACCTCTGATGATGGGAGTGATAATGGTTGACAGGAGACTTCCACCGTTGATGCACAGGTAGAATACAGAGAAGAAAGTTCTCCTTTGCTTATCCTGCACAGAAAGGACACGTTAGTGAGCTTGTGCCGTGCAAGTCATGCAATGCTGAATATAGTGTGTAACCAGATGTACATTGATCAATATCTGTATGAATTATTTTGTAACCAAAGTATTTTTTTAAAGCATACGTGACGGTCCAGAATGAAATAACAACTACCGAATGAATAGACAGTCATTGTTCTCAGAGGATGAACCCAAATGATGTTGCTGATTTTCCCTCTTGAGCTACTGTGCGGTTTAGATTTGTAATCATGTGTCTGCAACTATTTGATGGACTTCCTAACAGCTTGGCTAGACGGTGAATGGACTTCTCGCTTTTGGTTCTTGAAAATGTTTCGCTGCTGTTCCAAGAGGATTCTTCAGTTTTGTTTTTATTTTTTTTCATTTTTAAGTTATGTTGTTGATAGGAAAGTCAAGAGAGACAAAAAAGTAGGGGAAAAGAATAGGGGAAAGGCCCATGAGCGGGACTCGGACTCATGACCTCTGTGTCGGGGACTATAGCCCCTGAACATGGAATGCCAGCTCAACCAGTTGAGTTATCGTAGCGCCCCGAGGAGTCTTTAGTTTTAACTGAATGTGCCAAATCACATGACTAATGTCCCATTAACAGCTGAGGATCACATGCGTCAAAGTGTGAATGACTTTGCAACTGTAAAGTCGGGGATGACTCAAGATATTTATGTTGGTAAAACTCTGTGATAAGAGATCTCAAGACTGATTTCTAAGTTCCTGAACAGCTGCCATGGACCCCCTCCTCTGTTCAAATTCTTTCACTCCTCTCTCCAATCATTTGTCTTCTCTCTCAGAAGGTTTGATAGAGGACAGTTCAATCAATAGGATTTGGTTGTGTTATGCTAATAGTAGAAAATGTAACCTCAGGCCTTCATCTTCAAACAGAGATGGGAAGCGGACTTTAGACGTCTGATAAACGTGTTATGTTCTAATCGACACTCCCTGATTTTTTGCATTCCGAGCCAACACTGGTTTATCTCACCACACAGAACTTCCAGTACAGCCACAGAAAGCTTTATACAGCTTTGTTGCACGTATGAGGTAGCCCTACGTGACATTTTGAACCACAGTTACTTAATCCGGTTCTATGGGTTATGATAAAACACCTGCAAAACTAACAACATTGCAATCAGCCTTTGCTTGGCTCTGAATATAGCCTCAGAAACTGATAGAGCACGGAAGAAAGAAGACAGAAAATTATGGGGAAAGAGGAAGGATTACATGCAATACAAGGCTTGAAATATGAATGTTGCAATGGCTTGTGCAATGTCTTAATCGATGCCAAAGGTTAAAAATTAGGGGAGAGGATTCAGCCATAGATAAGACCTGCAGAGAGGTGATATACTGACCTGGCTATCACTGAATTGGTCTCCACCAAAGGCAGCCACGCACGGTTTGATGCCGCCGGTGCCCAGAGCGATGAGCAACAGACCCACCATGGACAATGCGCTGAACGTGAGGAAGAACAAATGCATGAGCAGAGTGCACTTTATAAATATGTGATAGAAACTGCTGCATCCTGGATCCTATTATTTATGTCTGTAGCAGAATAGAAACCCACACATGGAAGGTCATGTTGTCTGGTTTCCCATCTCTGTCCGTGTCAGTGATGTCATGTATCGCACTGACTGCCATCGCAACCTGGCCAATGGCATAGACGATGGACAAGTAGATGATGGTCCTGGAAGAGGAAGATTGAAAGACATTTGTTCATGTTACGATGCAAGTGGAATTTTATACATTTTTATATTTTAATTTTAAAGTGATCAATTAGTATTTATCTAATAAATGCAGTGCAAAGTAAACATTTTCATCTGAAATGTAGAAAACTTCACACATTACTAAAATAACAAACAAAAAAAATAATAATTCCAAGGCAGTGGAACTTGAAGCATCCACTCACTTAAACTTTCCCAGCCAGGAGTCGGCCACGATGGCCCCGAGGATGGGAGTCAGGTAGCAGAGAGCCACAAACGTGTGGTAAATGGAGGTGGCCAAGTCATCATCCCAGAGCAAGAAGTACTTAAAGTACAGCACCAGCACGGCTGCAGACAAGCAGGGAAAATGGTCTCTTTTTATTCCATGTCAACTGCACATTGCTTGCTGCATTTGTGGCTCTCATGTATGAGCATGTGTGGTGCTTTCGGACTAACAGTTTGTTGTTTTAAGCGCCATTTGGGATTTTTCCTCAAATATGCTAAAACATAGACTGTTCATGTCATGCATGAAATAACACTGTTGTCCAAATTCAATGACAAAATAAATGATCTGTACCTACAGTAGTCCTCATTCATAGCCTCCCATTAAAGAAGGAAAAAATCAGCTGTCACTGAAATACGTTGAAATTGACAAAAGTAATAATAAATAAAAATGTAATGAAAATCATGACATTACTGAAATAATAAAAAACAAACAAAACAAGCATGATGGGACCCGTAAACTAATATTTTGTTGAACAACCCTTTGAGCCAATCACTGCAATTAAGTGTTTTCTGTAACTCTCAATCAGACTTCTCCACCTGTTGACAGCTATTTGGATTTTGGCCCACAGCTCATCAGCAAAGTACTCTAAATTGTCTGGGACAGTTTTGTTTTTTTAAATTATTCTTTTCAACCACAATTCAAAGCAATGTCTTATTTCACTAAATTATAATTTAGCAATTTTTTATTTATTACTACTTTTTTCAGTTTCTAGTTATTTGAGTGACTATTGTGAATTTTGCCTTTTCTTTAATGGAAGGGTATGAATGCATTTGAGGACGACTGTACCGTAATTAAGGTTTAGGCACAAACATAACCAGTAAACAGTTTGGGGGTTAAAGATTAGTGAAGCTGACTTGGATAGATGTCTGCTTTATGCTAAATGAGTTTCTTTTTATGGTTACAGTCGTCATAGTTCTTGAAGATGTTCTCACCTCGCATTCCATAGTAGGAGAACCTCTCGCAGAATTCATTCACAACAATGAAGAAGATGCTCAGCGGGTAGCCAAACACCTCTTTGCTCTGTTGGAGGAGAAAACAGCAACATACAGTCTTCATTCAGTGGAGGAGGTATTTACTCAATATTTATTGATTACGAAAAAACATAAAAAAGAATAGCATTGGCAAAGAAATGTGATTAAATACAGATAGAAAAGGTCTTCATTCTACATAATGGCCCCTGTCAGTTAATTACACTGACATGTCAGCAGTTTTTATTTATTTTATTGTTAATATATTAGACAGACACATTCTACCCAAGTGCAATACAGGTACTGAATGCACACTCGTATGAACTATTTATCACACATATGTATAATTTACATTATACAATGTTATATATATTATAATTTTGTTTTAGTTATTATATATTTTACTATGTTTTGTATATATTTTATATATATTGTATTATAGATTTTATTATTTATAACAATAATTTTATAATCATTTATTTATATTATTTATATTTCTCATATACCCACAGTGTTTCTACCTCATCAGTGCTATATATTTATACTACTGTCTGGTGGAATAAACTGTATATACGTCCTTTTGTAAATGTATGTGTATATTCTCATTGTCTTTTTATACTTTTACTTTTATATGCTTGCACCACTGGAGTTGTCTTTAATTTTGTTGTACCTTGTGTATGATGACAATAAAAGCATTCTATTCTATTCTGTTCTGTTCTGTTCTGTTCTGTTCTGTTCTATTCTAGATTGTTTCTATGTATGCTTTCAGTTAATCTATTTAAAATGTATTCTAGTTTATAAAACTGATAGATGTTTTAAAATATAAATGTAAATCTGAAGTTAACCTGCCGTGGACTAAATGTAGTAAAGAAAAAGCAGAATGTTTTTCTCTGTGACAAAGCAGAATTGAGGTATATAGTAGCATAAAATGGGATTAGATAAGTAAAACATACTAAGTACTAAAAGTTATACACTACAATACAGTGGTTGGTATTCAGTGACGACAGTGCACATAGCGGAAGGTTGAGATATGTTCCTATTAATTATAAATTTCTCTTACTGTACAATTAGACAAACGAAGAGTGTTATTTACCTTTCCTTTGTTCTTCGTCTTCTTTTCGGGATCCTTTTTATCTGCGTGCAAGACAATTTAAACAAGAGTTCACAAAAAAGACGCAAGTACAGCAGCCTATTAATTGCCTCCATGTTGTTGTTTTTTATTTTAAAAAAATTAAAAATCTCCTTCTCCCAGTGTCTCAGGATTGAATAGAGAAACATTTAGTGTAGTTTTCTTCTTTGTGGTGACTTTTCCGTTATGTGTGTGGACGATCTGGACTAGAATATTTGCTTTCTATACATTTACAATATACAAAAGAAACACACATACAAAAAAATAATTGTTTGTTATCTCACCTGTCATGATGCCTGCCTGCCTGCCTGCCTTCTCCTGCAGTTTGATATTCCTTTGAGGTTCCTGCAGCGAAGCAGCTGATGATATGTCCTTCTCTGTTCACTAGTGGGAGTGGGAATGGCTCACGTATTATTGCTTGTTATTAGCCCTTGATCTGCCTTTCACACTGCTGACTGCGTATTGCTTTTATGATGGGTGGGAACACGAGATAGTGGAGATAGGAAGTCATGTATGTTCAGTTCATAAAAAGCTCATGAGAAAACTAGAATTTAACCAAATATGAGAACAACACACGATCAAACGAGCAAAAACAAATAAGGGGTCACGAGTGCAGAGAAACGAGTGTATTTTATTTAAAAGATAAGCATAGGGAACATCTCTGTTTACAGCAGAACAGTGACTTTTGTGTTAAATAAAGATTTAAAAAAAAAAACATTGCTGCCCAAATATAAGACAATTTTCTTGAACATTTCAATAAACATGAAATAGTACAAGCTTCATATTACTTCCACAGTAGGCGTAGTGTCTTTTCCCCACACCTTATCGCTTTGGCAAGAAGGTGAACATAATCTTTACAGTGTATGAGCCCCACACAGCAAGATGCTTTGCAAATATTGCACACACTCCTTTTTCTATTTACATTAATAAACAACTTGGAATACACTTTTTTTTTTGTTTGTTGTATGCAATGGCTTTAAATATTTAAAAACTCTCCCATCCTAAGACATTGAAGTGATTTAAGGTTAAACGCCAACATCGGAGGCCCTTTTGCAAAATTGCATTTTTGTAGAAATATAACTTCATGTACAGGGAGATGAGTGTCAATGTATGCAGCATATACTGTTCATCAAGACATCAATACAGTGGCTTATAAAAGAGGAATACTGTACATTTAAAAACAAAAAAAAAACACAATGTGAAATACTATCAAAATAAACAAAAAAACGGGCTGTTGAGAGGGTTTGTGGGTGTAATGTAGTGACATGCATATCAAAAAATCCCAACAGGAATGTCTCCGTGGAAAACACTGCTCAGTCTTTTCAGGTAGAAACAAGTGAAGAGGCCATCAAACAGTACGTCCGTCCATAAAGCGGGAACAAAGTCCCGTCACCTCTGCTGTCTGACCTCACGTTCCGTCCCATGAAATGAAACTGGCCATCCCCGGCGCAGCCACCATGCCCTGTGTATATGTTAAATAGGTCCAGTGCCTTGCTCATGGTTGACTGACTGAGGAGGGGAGGTGGCAGACAGCAAAAAGAAGCAGAGAGTTGTATGTTCTTCCATCAGTTTCCCCCGTTAAGCTGACCGAAGCAACAATATGGCATCACTGGCATGGCTTGGTTGGCGAGTACAGGGGAGGGAGGGGCTCGGAGGTCAAGGCGGACCAGCATCATACCACCGAGGATGAGCTGGGGATGCCCTGGATGGTGGCACTGGTTGGTGTGCCGCTAATGGCGTTAAAGATGTGTAGCGAATCTGGAAGGACGCTCTTCATGCCATCTTCCACTGGACTGATCTGGAAGGAAGAGAGCGTGTGGGAGAGGAAAAGACCGTCTTAGCAAACAGTCACAAAACACATTTTGGAATCCTAATATGTTTTCCAAGTCGAGCCCATTTTTTAATTATCTTTTTTGCTGACAGTTGATGAGGAGATTGATACAGACAGAAGTCAAAGTGAGAGCAGGTGGAAGAGCTAGCTCTGTCCAAAGGTAACGAAACCTGCCATGCAGCACCTCTATAGATCACTAATTAACATGGATTGTGTGCAAGACTATTTGTTGCCTTTGGACAAGGCCAGGCCAGCTGTTTCCTCCCTGTTGCCAGCCTTTGTGATAGCTAACTAGCTTCTGGCTGCGGTTTCATATTTACTGTAGAGAGATTAGAGACAGTTCTAGACGGTGTATTTCCCAAAACGTATGTCTTTAAGGTGCCATCTCAGCACCCATTCTGGAAATGAACATATACAGAAAACAGAAAATAAGTAAAAACAACCAATCCACATAACACCACCCAAAACTGACATAAGACTAACTTGTAAAACTAGAGTAAATTTTTATTTTTTTTAAAGCACACACATGCCGATGCATGTACATACACATGCCGTTCATGCACATACAAATGCATATGGTCCTACATATGCGTACATGGATGCATGCACAGTGTATACACATGCAAAAAAAAAAAGCCAAAAGAAATAAACCAATAAGTGATTGTTGGTCTAGCCAGACGCTGTGACACGTCTGCTCAGGGGACAGAGTGTAGGTTTGTCTGATTTCTGAAATAGCTGGACTAAGATAACATTTGATTTGACTTGATAATTGATTAACACATTTTCATGCAACAGTGGCTTCTCAGTAAGAGTATTCACTACTTTCCTTTTTCTAATAGTTTAGCAAAGTAAATATATTTGGTTGTGCAGCATTAGTTAGACAAAACAAGATACTGGGAAGATTCTTTTCCACTGTTTTCTGGTTGAGTGACCAAGAATATAATTAACATGTCTATCTATAATGCAAATAATGGTTATATGCAGCCCAAATCAGGAGAATTCTGGTGTTCAGTGGACTTGTGTGAGGATATTTTACATGCAGTTGATTTCTTATTTATTTCAGGGTTGTAAAGATAAGACTGTGTGCAAACTGATCAGATACCTTTGCCAACCGATCCAGTGCTTTTAAGTCAGGAAACAGGCCTCAGTTTAAACAACTTTCTTTTTTTTAATGCAACTGAGAATAGAGGACGAACTCTTAATAATGCTTGGAATATAGTTTATGACAAAATAGGACAAATTCTAGAAGTGTTACAGTCTAATATATGCTTTTTATGTCAATCGCATGATCAGCACAGGTTAAGAATTACTGTAAATTCGAATGTGTTTGTCTGGCTGGACCAACAAATAAGAACTCCATCTTTACTGCATACTGGCGCTTATTGCATTACCATCAAATCTGCTCATGTCAGCACAAAGGAAAAACAGAGAATGGCGTTATCAAAGAGTGCATCGTCACGTTATCAGACATATAATGAATGGCACTCTGTTTACTTCAGTTGCCACGACCTGCTTCAGAGGAAGATTACAGATGGAAGATTAGCAAACGCTCAAAGTAATTACATCGATACGTCGGTTACATAACGGCGGCCGCAGCGTTAATGTACTCACTTGCTCGTGCATGATGATGGACAGTTCTCTGGCGAGGTCTCTGTAGTTGGCTTTCATCTCGTCGTGGTACTCCTGTTGGTCCTCCTTGATCAGTCGCTCATTGATGCCCAAGCCATGGCCACATGCCTCCACGAAATGCCTGCTCACAAAAATAGGGTTAATTTGTTTTAAAGGGAGATTACACTGAATTGATCAAGCTTTGCAGACACACATTCTGAGCACCTTATATCTCACCTGAAGACCTCTTTCAACTGTTTGACCTTGTTATCAGGGTATTTCTTGGCGCTTGCATCGTCCAGAAAAGCTCTGGCGTATGCAAGAGGTCCTGCATTGACCTGAGGGGAGGATGGTATTTTGTTGTCATTATAATGCTGTTACATATGTCAGGTGTGAGTACATG